ACATGCCAAGGGGAATAATTCTGTAAAGGGAGACAACTCTGCAGGGATCTGTTTGTGCTTTCAGTATACATATCAGTATCGATACAATGTCTTCAACCAAAGGTCATCTCAATAATGAATTTTGGCGACTACATCACACGGGATCTCCACTCCACTCCCTTCATCCCTATTGTCCGGCTTCATCACCTTACCACAGCTCTAGAGTCACTTTTCAAAAACGTATAAAAAATCATGGCAGTGATAAAGTGTTGGGGTTGGTCAAAACACATACAAATATAATGGTAACAATTTCACCATACATGGTAAGGGCCCTTAACAAAATGAAATTATCATGTCACAAACTAAATGCCATTTGTTTCAAAATTACTGTCATAGAAAAATCAATGGTGAATGGAAAACTGACAGCATATGATTAGGGTTGATATTTTTATATAACTTGACTTTGGAAAATGGGAATAGATCATTGAATGTAAGAGAGCATCGACTCGTGCAGATCAACTGGCTAAACATGGTTCTCACATCCTGAAAATAGGGTGTCCCTTGTGGAATATATAATACAGCATCAGGGCAATACTTTCTAAATATCTAGCCCTGAACATGAATGTTGTGAAAAGGTTTTGAAGGTAGGACGTCAATAGTTACAGAGAGTAAGTGTGAGTCATAAGTATGATAACGAATATAGTCGAAGACATGGCTGAATGATTCTATAACCACCAAACATTGGAAAACAATCTTCCTGGTTATTAGATTGGGGCACAGAAACAAACCAGTTCTACATGAACAGACCACCACGAGAGAAGACTGCCTTACACACAGGCTTACACAGGTAATGTGAATTCCTGCCAAACAAATACTGTCAACAGATACAAGATCAAGGAACACACGTGTGACCAAGATTTTACAATTCCTGATAATGGAGTATTATATACAAACAGCTCACACAAGTATACACGGTAGGAGATTCTCACAAATTTACAATACAGAAACCATGGCATCAGGTTTGATACTTATTAAATTACATGGACACGGCTACCATATATCCAGGACTACCTCAGAACACACACTATTTCAACATCAAATACATCAGCACTTGATCAAAAGACGATGTATCATCACAGATCAGTGACTGGTATCATGTGGCATTTTCTCTCCATATCAAATATGGACATTTTACATACTGGCTAACACTGAAATTGCTCATGCAGAAATATAAGATCAATAATTTGTACAGAACTTGGAATATGGATGGCTTGGGTTGTGAGCAATGCATTGTGAAAGATTTGTGCAAGCATTGGCTTATGTATCAAAATATTCACACGTCTAGTTCTAAATGTAATATCACAAATAAATCCATTTCAAGAAGTCAAAAAGTGGGATGGAAAAGTCAAATTCCAACTTTTACATTCAACCCTTTAGCCACAAGGCCCTGTAGCTCACCTGACTTATGAAGTTATAATTCTGTTACACTTTAACTATATCTTAGTACAAATATCTAAAAGTATGTAACAGAAAAATTAGTGGGAAAACAAAAGTATTTTTGCTAACTTGTTCAGGACATCGTTGAGGTAAACTTAAGGATGCAATGAACAAACTGTGTCGTCATGACACTCAAACAAAGTCCAAGCCCTGGGACCAGTTGTTCGTAATAAAATCAAAGAAAAGAAAATCAAATCACTAAATATCTTCACAAGAAAGAACCTGCATGCCAAATTTCTGATTAAGCAGTATCAGAGAGGGTATTTCAGGGCATGTTGAAAGTGCACAGGTCAGCATTGGAGTTACTGGGGGTCCCAAGGTCATGTGCCTTTAAGTTGTCTGTCACAAATGAGTGAGTGAGTTGGGGTTAATGCCGTTTTAACAGTATTCCAGTAATATCACAGCGTGTCGGCTTAATGTGGGAGGAAAGTGATGCAGGTCTCAGACGTTTACCACTTTGGTGAAACCCACGAGCACAGGTATGGTGCTGACAAACCTAGAAACTTAATCCGGGCGAACCAGGATTCGAACCTACAATCATAGGTTTCTGGCATCCCCAAGGGATACAACTCTGCACAGCGAATCGTGGTGCCTTAGACGACTGGGCCACCCGTGCCCCCAAACATAAGAATAATAATAAACCAGAACTCTATGCAGCCTGTATTTGTAGTATTTGAGCGGCCTTTGTGTGATGCGTGCGGAAATATGTCAGCTGGTGCTGTTGCATGTGCGCCAAACTCCTTCACGAGTTGATCTTTACAATGCATGGTACACGGTTTTTTACAATGTCGTAGGGTCCTGACAAGTAGTTCAACAATCACCTGCACGCTTCATGAACATGCTGACAGGGACCACAGGAACCCTTAACAAGAATGTTCATGCCATGATTAGTTTTCTAATTGCTGCTTAGAGACACTATAGCTGGGGTCATTCACACAAAGTTTCAGCTTTCTAGGCCTTATAGTTTCAGAAGAGAGGCTGAACATGAAAAAATAAGGACGGATGACCTTACGACACGCCACAACGTAAGCTCACTTGACTTTCAATAAGGTGAGCTTAAAAACTATTACAGGTTCAAAAACTTCTTCAGACATTACGGTTTTCATCTAAGTATTTGGAAATTACTTATTTTCAAGTAATCCAGCCATGATGGTGACTATAGGATTTGAAAGACAAGAATAGCAGGTTGACAATGGAGATTGAAAAAGTTTGCAGAATTGATTTTGGGCAAATTTAGGTCAGGGTCATCGGAGGAAAACACAAATCTGGGGTTTGGAGTTATCTCCCTTTCTCAGCTGACATACATTCTCTTTGCACAGGGTACTGCCAACAGATCAACATTGCACAATCTGCTAATGTATACAATTAATTTCCTTTTCTTTCAACAAGGTTCATAGTTGGCATCTAGAAATCGAATGTTGAAGATTAAGAGGGATTACTGAACACATCTTTTATAGAAACTGAACGTGTTCCCTTCATCAACACATAGGATGAAAGATTCACTGGCTGGGATTCCTGACTCACATTACCTGAGGGCATATCATGCAGCATGACAACAAACGCGGAACAGGTGCTTGTTCTACTTGACATCACACAGTTGCACTGGACAGCTGGTAGAACATGTTCCGAGAAGGGAGGGATTTGGTTCACTGCCACTATGTTCAACAGGACCTTATGATGGCCAATATCATTCAAATCTTAGTTCTCGCCACCGCTAAACAAAGATCTGAGGACATCCCATTACGGTCACATCAGACTGAACTTCGGCGAACTTTGTCCAACCAATGGAATGACTGAAAAGAAGTCAACATTGGCCAATCAGAAGGTAGTTATTTAACTAGTACCTTAAGGCACTAGTTTTAAATTGGCAACTATGCTGTGAAACATATTTTGACAAGTTCTTGATAAAAATTTGAAAACTGAACGAAAGAACATTCTGGAATGACTAAGAGCTGTCCTAGATTGTATGGATTCAGTAATAAAGCCCGTAATTGTTTTCTGTGTTAAATTTTTCGAGGTTGCATGATTAAAAAACACATTTCCACTGTCACTTCGTCAGCTATGGTCTGATTGGTCGGATGAAAGGTCATTCTGTCGTGACCTGTAATGGGATGTTCTCAGATCTTTGCTTCATGGTAGCGACAACTAAGATCTCATCTAGATGAGATTGTCATGATGGCGTGTCTGCAAGTTCAGAGGAAACCATAAAGTGTCACAGGTCCTAGACACATAGCTTTAACCCTTGAACACTGTACGGTGCTGGCAAACTAATGTTCAGAGTCGGGGGGAAAGTGGGATATGAACACAGTGAGAATGGATCTTTCAAAGACAAAGGGAGGCAACTCTGCACAGACATTTGTGGCTCCCATGATCTTCAGAAAACGGATACACATTATTTGTGCAAGATTCAGTGAACCAGTTGAGACTATCTCTGGGGCTCTTGACTTGAGGTAAAGAGAACTATGAAGATTACAGCAAATACAGACTGTGGAAAACAGTTCCAGCTTGTAACAGTCCATGGAAAACATCTTCTGTGAATCACATCAAGTCTCGTCCTCCAAGATGCCCCATTTTCACGTTCACAAGTATACTATTTGGTTCCATAGTCTTTGACAATTCTACATGTTTCATTGACAACAGTTCCGTGAGTTCAGCAACCTTTCATTCCACAGACAATCACACAAAATAAATAAACACATCTCGCATATATCAACAATGCAACTTCACCGGTGGCTATGCACCACAGAAAATTCACAGACAATATATATATATATATGCAACAGGCATGCTTTTAAAGGAGCCACATTGTATCCACATCCAACAAGTTGAATTCCAGCATTTGAACAAAAAACACTGGAGTAGAACATGTTTCTTTTACATTCATACAATTTAAAGTCTTCAAGAACATACTGAAAACAAAATGGTCTTTGCTTTAAAAGTGTTCAGAAATGATCAACATGGCGTTCCTCAGAACAGAGTATCACAAGATTGACGAGTCTGAGATGCTGGTAGTTGTCCTCTCGCTGACGAAGCAGGGCCTTTCATGGAGGCTGTACATCTCTCACACTGTGACACTACAACATTAAGCCTGTGAAGTACATCTAGCCATACCAGGAACACAACACCAATATTTGATTTGCTTGAGTTTTGGTTGAAATGATGGAAAAATTCCAGTCAATATTGAAGATGGAAGATCAGCTGCAGTAATCGTATCAGCATTGGTCAATGTACAGACGAGACAGGAGGTCAAAAACAGGCTTGAGACATTGTATCCTTGATGTAGAGAACAAAGGCTTTGTTTCATGATGGCTAAGTAACCATGGTAACACCAAGTTCTAGCCATCTCTAGATCAGTTGCAGAACACAGCTTCTCTGACTGATACTGATCCTTGCCCAGGACACTTTGTGTGGTGGTGTTTGCAGGGGTATCTCAGGGCTATGTCAGAATGGTCGCAGGTTTTTGTCAGGTCCTGAGTAACGCTGTTCTTTGGTTCTGACTACAAGAACCCCAAGCTCCTGATTCATTGATGCTCTCAGCTTGTGGGGGTCAGGCAGGCCGATGTACCAGGGCTCCGTTCTACAAAGCGATCTTAGCGCTCCGACTTCCAAGTCTATGTTAAAAGTATGGGAGTTACGATCATCTTTGTGCTAAGCTTGCCTTGTCGTGCTTTGCCTCCGTAATGTGACCGTGAAATCACTACCTGAATGATCCCACAATGTTGGCAATGCTTGGAATCCAAGCCCTGGGCTATTTCCTCCAGACCTCCTGTATGTCTTAAATGTCCTCTGAATATCCTCCATACATCCTCCAAGAATGGATTCACTAATATTTCTCTGGAGTACAATTGGCATCAAGACCTCAAGATCTTCAGGAATAAGTCTGAGGATTGACTGAAGTACATCATTACCCCCTGGCTCTACTCTGTTGGCCACACAGATTGCCACTTTGTTCGAAACATGACCCAGAGGATGTGAGGTATGGGCTTCAGTAGAATATCAAGCAGGTGTTCCAGCTGTCTGCCCGACAATCCACCTCAACAGTATACACGTTCAGATAAGTAGATGTAAGGTAAACCAAGTCTCCTTGTTGGATCACAGCCATATAGATGGACACACGTCCATAGTTGATTCAAGGTCTATCTCTCACACACACACACACCGCCTTGTTCATTCCACCCTCAACAGCAAGGCATACAACATGGTGGAGCCCCGCTCCTTCGTGGACCACTCCAGCTCACTGTTGTTAAACTTGGGATCGATGGGGTCACTCGCCTCAATGGTCTGTGGGCCGACCTTGTAAGACCCTGGCTTCACCCACACCTGGAATGCGACTCGAGCCTGGTACAGCTTCTTTGTTTTCAGGTCTGTAAATCTGAAACATGAACATGGTCACATGCATTATTCAAGTTTGTTTGTTGCTTAAAGTAACACTGAGCAATGGTAGAAACTAACAGTTTTTGTCAACTAGTCCTTGCAATGATAAAATATAGCAAAACCCTTAAAAAGGGCAAATGTCTAGTCCTTATGATAACTACTGGGCAAATTGGCAAGGACTACAGGAGTAGTGGCAATTTTTACGGCTGCTTAGCAATAGTGCAGCTAAATGACGAGAGCCTGTAAATAAATGAGTCTGAAAAAATCCAATCAGTGATTGTTATAGTGACAATGAATGATACATGGCGTTGGGGTATGAATCGTTATTGACCAAGGTACCAAGTCTGACTTCCTCATCCAGTGAGTCACCTCTTACAACCAGCATTGGTCCCCATAGTTTGAAGGGATGCTAGTTATTTCAAAAAGAATATACACATTCCTCCCCACAAAGTCAATGCTTTATGGAAATGAGTGAGTGAGTATGGTTTCACGCCACTTTTAGCAATATTCCAGCAATATCACAGCGGGGGACACCAGAAATGGTCTTCACACATTGTACCCATGTCGGGAATCGAACCTGGGTCTTCGGCATGACGAGCGAACACTTTAACCACAAGGCTACCCGACCACTCCTTATGGCAATGATGATGCTGATTATGAATGCATTGTAACCATATCGGTCATAGGGTAATGACAGTCAGCAATTATGCAGCTATATGATGGTTGGACCAGACAATCCAGTGATGAGGCATGTGTGCTGACATGGGGGGGTGATGCCAGTCAGCAATATTGCAGCTATATGATGGCTGGACCAGACAATCCTGTGATGAGGCATGTGTGCTGACATGGGGGGTGATGCCAGTCAGCAATATTGCAGCTATATGATGGCTGGACCAGACAATCCAGTGATGAGGCATGTGTGCTGACATGGTGGGTGATGCCAGTCAGCAATATTGCAGCTATATGATGGTTGGACCAGACAATCCAGTGATGACATGGAGGGTGATTCCAGTCAGCAATATTGCAGCTATATGATGGCTGGACCAGACAATCCAGTGATGAGGCATGTGTGATGACATGGAGGGTGATGTCAGTCAGCAATATCGCAGCCACATAACAGAGCCCTGATCTGGTATCCCTACCGGTGTTTTGGGGCGAACTCGGAGGCTCCTGCGTAGCGTATTGTGGGGGAGAAGAAGATCTGCTGCCCCCCGAAGCTGTCTGGCTTGGCTTTCTCTGTGAACACCTGTGGCTGTGGAATGAGGATGCTCTTCCCCCCGACTGGGTCACCTGGAGACGGAAGCTACAGTTACTTCATGCAAAGACCTGTCACTGTACCTGCCAGGGATTAATCCTGGATTCTAAACCAACCCTGGCACACAAACTGGGAAAAAATCATCATTTATTCAAAAGTGGGACTATTTTAACATTTTTATTTTCTTAACAATGCTTAAAAACAGAGGCATATTAACATTGTATTATTAGATTGTATCCAAAGCAATGATAAAGCACTAAGTATGAAACTGTAATAAAGAAGTTCCACAAATCTTATCCTTACAAAGTATGAAAGCCTCTTTCTATTTCCTGGCCCTGTTATCAGTGAAATACAGATTATTAATTAGTTATTGGTTACATACAAGCATGAATTTGCCGCAGTCTCGGAGACAAATATTGGCCTCTGAGCGGGTACAGATAAACCCCTGCATACACATGAGTACACTGAGACACTCAATCCACCTTGTAAGTCTGGAGTCAGTCTCCATAACACCCTGCAAGTTTGGAGTAAGTCTACATAACACCCTGCAAGTCTGGAGTCAGTCTCCATAACACTCTGCAAGTTTGGAGTAAGTCTACATAACACCCTGTAAGTCTGGAGTAAGTCTCCATAACACCATGTAAGTCTCCATAACACCCTGTAAGTCTGGAGTAAGTGTCCATAACACCCTGTAAGTTTGGAGTAAGTCTACATAACACCCTGCAAGTCTGGGGCAAGTCTCCATAACACCCTGTTTGTCTGGAGTAAGTCTCCATAACATCCTGTATGTCTGGAGTAAGTCTCCATAACACCCTGTAAGTCTGGAGTAAGTCTCCATAACACCCTGTAAGTTTGGAGTAAGTCTACATAACACCCTGCAAGTCTGGGGCAAGTCTCCATAACACCCTGTATGTCTGGAGTAAGTCTCCATAACACCCTGTAAGTCTGGAGTAAGTCTCCATAACACCATGTAAGTCTCCATAACACCCTGTAAGTCTGGAGTAAGTCTCCATAACATCCTGTAAGTTTGGAGTAAGTCTACATAACACCCTGCAAGTCTGGGGCAAGTCTCCATAACACCCTGTAAGTCTGGAGTAAGTCTCCATAACACCCTGTATGTCTGGAGTAAGTCTCCATAACACCCTGTAAGTCTGGAGTAAGTCTCCATAACACCCTGTAAGTTTGGAGTAAGTCTACATAACACCCTGCAAGTCTGGGGCAAGTCTCCATAACACCCTGTAAGTCTGGAGTAAGTCTCCATAACACCCTGTATGTCTGGAGTAAGTCTCCATAACACCCTGTAAGTCTGGAGTAAGTCTCCATAACACCCTGTAAGTTTGGAGTAAGTTTACATAACACCCTGCAAGTCTGGGGCAAGTCTCCATAACACCCTGTAAGTCTTGAGTAAGTATCTATAACACTCTGTCAGTCTGGAGTAAGTATCCATAACACTCTCAAGGTCTTCAGTAAGTATCTATAGAACTTTGCAAGTCTGGAGTAAGTAGTTATAATCTGGGATTTGAAACAAAAATCAACAATGCTGGAAAGCACGGGATGAAACTCTGAAAAGCAAATTGCTGCACCTCAGATGACAGAGCACCCGTGCCCTACAGGTGCTGCCAACCCAGTCTGGGAACCATGCATACTAGATCACTACTCTGGAGGAAGTCTCCATAACACCTGTGCCAGTCTGGAAACCATGCATACTAGATCACTACTCTGGAGGAAGTCTCCATAACACCTGTGCCAGTCTGGAAACCATGCATACTAGATCACTACTCTGGAGGAAGTCTCCATAACACCTGTGCCAGTCTGGAAACCATGCATACTAGATCACTACTCTGGAGGAAGTCTCCATAACACCTGTGCCAGTCTGGGAACCATGCATACTAGATCACTACTCTGGAGGAAGTCTCCATAACACCTGTGCCAGTCTGGGAACCATGCATACTAGATCACTACTCTGGAGGAAGTCTCCATAACACCTGTGCCAGTCTGGAAACCATGCATACTAGATCACTACTCTGGAGGAAGTCTCCATAACACCTGTGCCAGTCTGGAAACCATGCATACTAGATCACTACTCTGGAGGAAGTCTCTATAACACCTGTGCCAGTCTGGAAACCATGCATACTAGATCACTACTCTGGAGGAAGTCTCCATAACACCTGTGCCAGTCTGGAAACCATGCATACTAGATCACTACTCTGGAGGAAGTCTCCATAACACCTGTGCCAGTCTGGGAACCATGCATACTAGATCACTACTCTGGAGGAAGTCTCCATAACACCTGTGCCAGTCTGGAAACCATGCATACTAGATCACTACTCTGGAGGAAGTCTCCATAACACCTGTGCCAGTCTGGAAACCATGCATACTAGATCACTACTCTGGAGGAAGTCTCCATAACACCTGTGCCAGTCTGGAAACCATGCATACTAGATCACTACTCTGGAGGAAGTCTCCATAACACCTGTGCCAGTCTGGAAACCATGCATACTAGATCACTACTCTGGAGGAAGTCTCCATAACACCTGTGCCAGTCTGGAAACCATGCATACTAGATCACTACTCTGGAGGAAGTCTCCATAACACCTGTGCCAGTCTGGAAACCATGCATACTAGATCACTACTCTGGAGGAAGTCTCCATAACACCTGTGCCAGTCTGGAAACCATGCATACTAGATCACTACTCTGGAGGAAGTCTCCATAACACCTGTGCCAGTCTGGAAACCATGCATACTAGATCACTACTCTGGAGGAAGTCTCCATAACACCTGTGCCAGTCTGGGAACCATGCATACTAGATCACTACTCTGGAGGAAGTCTCCATAACACCTGTGCCAGTCTGGAAACCATGCATACTAGATCACTACTCTGGAAGAAGTCTCCATAACACCTGTGCCAGTCTGGAAACCATGCATACTAGATCACTACTCTGGAGGAAGTCTCCATAACACCTGTGCCAGTCTGGGAACCATGCATACTAGATCACTACTCTGGAGGAAGTCTCCATAACACCTGTGCCAGTCTGGAAACCATGCATACTAGATCACTACTCTGGAGGAAGTCTCCATAACACCTGTGCCAGTCTGGGAACCATGCATACTAGATCACTACTCTGGAGGAAGTCTCCATAACACCTGTGCCAGTCTGGAAACCATGCATACTAGATCACTACTCTGGAAGAAGTCTCCATAACACCTGTGCCAGTCTGGGAACCATGCATACTAGATCACTACTCTGGAGGAAGTCTCCATAACACCTGTGCCAGTCTGGAAACCATGCATACTAGATCACTACTCTGGAGGAAGTCTCCATAACACCTGTGCCAGTCTGGAAACCATGCATACTAGATCACTACTCTGGAGGAAGTCTCCATAACACCTGTGCCAGTCTGGAAACCATGCATACTAGATCACTACTCTGGAAGAAGTCTCCATAACACCTGTGCCAGTCTGGGAACCATGCATACTAGATCACTACTCTGGAAGAAGTCTCCATAACACCTGTGCCAGTCTGGAAACCATGCATACTAGATCACTACTCTGGAAGAAGTCTCCATAACACCTGTGCCAGTCTGGGAACCATGCATACTAGATCACTACTCTGGAGGAAGTCTCCATAACACCTGTGCCAGTCTGGGAACCATGCATACTAGATCACTACTCTGGAGGAAGTCTCTATAACACCTGTGCCAGTCTGGAAACCATGCATACTAGATCACTTCTCTGGAGGAAGTCTCCATAACACCTGTGCCAGTCTGGAAACCATGCATACTAGATCACTACTCTGGAGGAAGTCTCCATAACACCTGTGCCAGTCTGGAAACCATGCATACTAGATCACTACTCTGGAGGAAGTCTCCATAACACCTGTGCCAGTCTGGGAACCATGCATACTAGATCACTACTCTGGAAGAAGTCTCCATAACACCTGTGCCAGTCTGGGAACCATGCATACTAGATCACTACTCTGGAGGAAGTCTCCATAACACCTGTGCCAGTCTGGGAACCATGCATACTAGATCACTACTCTGGAGGAAGTCTCTATAACACCTGTGCCAGTCTGGAAACCATGCATACTAGATCACTTCTCTGGAGGAAGTCTCCATAACACCTGTGCCAGTCTGGAAACCATGCATACTAGATCACTACTCTGGAGGAAGTCTCCATAACACCTGTGCCAGTCTGGAAACCATGCATACTAGATCACTACTCTGGAGGAAGTCTCCATAACACCTGTGCCAGTCTGGGAACCATGCATACTAGATCACTACTCTGGAGGAAGTCTCCATAACACTTGTGCCAGTCTGGGAACCATGCATACTAGATCACTACTCTGGAGGAAGTCTCCATAACACCTGTGCCAGTCTGGGAACCATGCATACTAGATCACTACTCTGGAGGAAGTCTTTACAGTGTAAGTGTTAATCCCGTTGGACTGAAACACTCTGTGTTGAGTACTGGAGAGGAGAGAGATGTGTTAGTGCTGCTGTACCTGGCAGTAAGAGGTCACCGTAGTCCAGTATCCGTCTCACCACCTCCACCCTGGTCCCATGGTAGGCCGCGTGCCACTTCTCAAACACATTCAGGGAGTGCGCTTTACAGGGAGCTCTGCGTGGCAGAAACACCAGCGTCATTAGGAGGTTGTGAAAAATCTTATTAGTATCTTCTGATTAGTGAGATCTCAAGTTATTTTGTATACAGGAGTGAGTGAGTGAGTATGGTTTTACGCCGCTTTTAGCAATATTCCAGCAATATCACGGCGGGGGTCACCAGAAATGGGCTTCACACATTGTACCCATGTCGGGAATGGAACCCGGGTCTTCGGCGTGACGAGCGAACGCTTTAACCACTAGGCTACCCGACCGCCCCTTTTATACAGGAAGACACATTAATGACTTATTCATTTCAAAAAGTAACTTCTCACTTACACTGACCCCTGGAGTAACTCTGTTTTGAAATATTAAGACACGAAAGTGACAGCTCACCTGAGCACAAATCTGCACCAGCCGAAGGGTACAGCATAATCACTTGGGGGGTCCCCCCTCCGCACGTAGAAGTCGTCTCCCCTCATCTTATGACAGGTCTCACAGTAACACATGTTGTACTGCATGTCGAAATACCCATCTGAAACAATAACAAGCATGAAATACTCATATCCCACCAATATGACATGTCTGGTTCTGTGCAAGGCAAGAAATATTGTAAGGTTTCCAAGATCTGCTCCGGAAACGAGCACTCCCACCATTTTCAGTCTAAGTCAAAGTCATTGCTATGTAAACTTGAATTTTATTTTTGTTTAAATCAAAACTTTCAAAAGGCACCAGTTTACCACTAGACCTATCTATGTGCCAAGTTTGGTGAAGAAATATTGTACGGTTTTCAAGATCTGCTCCGGAAAGGAGCACTACCATCATGTCATGTGACTAAAACATACAGAATACATTCTCCAGTTCCCACCCAACAATACGGGCAGTTTTCAGTGAGTACAACACTTGTTTTACCTGGCAAGCCCAGTGATGTGCGTAGTCTTGAGCAAAGATTCTGATATTCACAGTTCCTCATGACCGACAGGTCACACACCATCCTGCCTCCCTGCTTCTCCTTCACCACTGCAACAGATCAGTCACACTCAGTACAATCACCATCCTCCATCATCCAGGGTACTTTATCTCCATTCGGATAAATGCTCTGGATCCACCTGCTTTTTGTTAAGGAAGTGAAGTCGCTGTTTCTACCATGAATTAGGATAATACTTGATTCTGATTGGTCAGAGGTTTCAAATGACAATAACAACCTCTGCTTATTTGGTTCAAAGCTTAATTTATTGAGGTCAGATATAGAGGAAACTTAGCTCTACATTGGAAACACATAATGCTCATCTGTTAATTCTGTTCTGATAAATACCCTTCAGTCATTTGTTAACATAGTTAGATTTCAGGAAGTGACATCACAACCTCAATTTCTCTTACCAATAACCACTGATAACGTTGCACAGAATTTCTCTCTCAAAAGTGCACTTTGACTAGATTGCTGTTTTAGCATTCGTTTTTTTTACCAGGGTGAAAATGAAGCCACAAGAGTTCATGTTGTTTTGTTTTGTGTGTTGCTTAATGTGGCACTAAGCAAGAAGTATAGTGGAAGAGAGATAGACCTGAATTGGTTGACACTATCTGATGGTATGGACGAGCCTCAAATGGTTGACACTATCTGGTGGTACAGAAAGACCTAAAATGGTTGACACTATCTGGTGGTACAGAGAGTCCTCAAATGGTTGACACTATCTGGTGGTACAGACAGACCTCAAATGGTTGACACTATCTGGTGGAACAGAGAGACCTCAAATGGTTGACACTATCGGGTGGTACAGACAGACCTCAAATGGTTGACACTATCTGGTGGTACAGAGAGACCTCAAATGGTTGACACTATCGGGTGGTACAGACAGACCTCAAATGGTTGACACTATCTGGTGGTACAGAGAGACCTCAAATGGTTGACACTATCTGGTGGTACAGAGAGACCTCATTAGGTTAACACTATCTGGTGGTACAGACGGACCTCAACTGGTTGACACTATCTGGTGGTTCAGAGAGACCTCAAATGGTTGACACTATCTGGTGCTACAGAAGGACCTCAAATGGTTGACACTATCTGGTGGTACAGACAGACCTCAACTGGTTGACACTATCTGGTGGTTCAGAGAGACCTCAAATGGTTGACACTATCTGGTACTACAGAAAGACCTCAAATGGTTGACACTATCTGGTGGTACAGACAGACCTCAACTGGTTGACACTATCTGGTGGTACAGAAAGATCTCAAATGGTTGACACTATCTGGTGGTACAGACAGACCTCAAATGGTTGACACTATCTGGTGGTACAGACAGACCTCAAATGGTTGACACTATCTGGTGGTTCAGAGAGACCTCAAATGGTTGACACTGTCTGGTGGTACAGAAAGACCTCAACTGGTTGACACTATCTGGTGGTACAGACAGACCTCAACTGGTTGACACTATCTGGTGGTACAGAGAGACCTCAAATGGTTGACACTATCTGGTGGTTCAGAGAGACCTCAAATGGTTGACACTATCTGGTGGTACAGAGAGACCTCAAATGGTTGACACTATCTGGTGGTACAGACAGACCTCAACTGGTTGACACTATCTGGTGGTTCAGAGAGACCTCAAATGGTTGACACTATCTGGTGGTACAGAGAGACCTCAAATGGTTGACACTATCTGGTGGAACAGACAGACCTCAACTGGTTGACACTATCTGGTGGTTCAGAGAGACCTCATATGGTTGACACAATCTGGTGGTATAGAAAGACCTCAAATGGTTGAACTCCCTGTTAACATGGGTTGCAAGACCACTCACCATCATCAATGTCTGCCTTCTCTCGGTCGTCGCCCACGTTGAGGGGCGGCATGTTCCCTTCCTCGCTGACTATCGTCACCTGCAACACCACACAGGGTCTGAGATAACAGGAAAGTCTGACACCACAATATCACAACAACTTAATAGCCACTTCTGTTCCACATTATGAGCCTGCAAATCAACGGACATTTCCCTGTATTTAAAATGTTGAAATATTAAATCAATTTAGTCTAGTAAAAGGTGATGTTTTTGGTTTCATAGATGCCAACGTCTGTATTCTCAATGGATGTAGACTGTTCTGAGATCACCAAAGTTGCATCTTTCTCCACACAAACATATCCAGGGTTTGAGTCAGTATGATGGGTTTAACACCACTAACACCAGTATATCTGAGAGTCTATTAGCTTGAATATTGGCTCTACTGAGTGAGTGAGTTGGATTTAACACTGCTTTTGTCAGTATTCCAGTTATATCGCGGCCTGTCAGCTTAATGTCGGAGAGGCCCGAAGTGATGCAGGTCTCGGACGTTTACCACTTCGGTGAAACCCACGTGCACCGGTATGGTGCTGACAAACCTACAAACATAATCGGGGTGAACCGGGATTCGAACCCACAATCATAAGTTTCTGGCGTGCCCAAGGGACGCAACTCTGCACAGCGAATCGCGGCGCCTTAGGCGACTGGGCCACCTGTGCCCCCAAATATGCCTCTCAGTTTCATGTTCAGTTTACAGTCATCATGTGGAGTATTATAACTGAGCTTACAAGACCGAACAGAATCTTACTAGACTCAGGCCTTTGACTTGTGACTAAAGCCGCAGACTGATATTAGTTACATGTCGTCATGTCAGCATACAGGTCATTACCACTATGGGGAAACCCATGAGCATATGCTTGGCGCTGTCAAATATAATGTGGTGATCCAGATTTGAACTCACGACCATAGGTTTCAGGCACGCCTAAGGAACTTAACTGTGCATAGCGCATTGTGGTTCATTAGGTGATGGGCCACCTGTGCTCCCCTCAAGTAGAACGCCGAATGAAGGTGAAACAATCACAAGACACAGGTAATTATTTCTAAAAATAGATTCTGGACTTTAAGCCAACTCACCTGCACCAATTCTTCACAAGTGAAGGTGTTTTAATTATCAAGGCCAAAAGTTGTTTTTCTGTTTAATAATACAAATTTTGACAATTGTTTCTTGGTTACCTGTTCACACTGGCCGTACAAGTCGACCATTCCGAAACAAGGCGTGGGGACGTCTTTGACTGCTACTCCCTGGTCGACTCCGTTGATGTAGAGGTGGAGGCAGTTCTCGTCATCCACCAGTAGCCCCACATACTGCCCCACCTGGACGCTGTCCAAGTTGCAGGACAACAGGTCTCGCACCTGACAACAAATCACATCACATTCAGCTGGTTCAAGTCACAGATAGATCACTTCAAAGGATTGTGCTCTGTAGAAACACATCGTAACGCTTCAGGGAAGTGCGTGAGCAGTAATTCAGTGATGGAAACTAACATTTTCAGCCCACTCGTCCTTATATTGATAACATATAGCAAGACCCTCAAAAATGGCTTTGTCTTTATGATACCTTCACTTTTGGGCAGTTTGGCAAGGACTACAGGACTAGTGCCAATTCCTAATGCTGAGTGAAGAGGTGATCTGTGTTTTACTTTGAGGTGAGGTGAAATGGGGTTTAACGTCGCGTCCAAGCTTATTGCACTTATATAGCGACGTGCATGTATGTGAGTGTTTGTGTGGCTGCTTGTACTAGTCCGGACTGATGCCGATTTATAGTGCTAGCCAACTGACGTACCATGCCGCAGTTTAACATGACTACCCCACTCAGACACAGTATACTGACTCCGAGCCGACCAGTCCTTGTTTTAGCCCCTTAATGCCAAGCGCCAGACAGGGTAACAACAAGTACCATCTTTTAAGGTCTTTTGGTATGACGCGGTCAGGTATCGAACTGAGGGCTTTCCGCTCTCCGGGCGGACGCTCTACCACTAGACCACGGAGGCAGTTTAATGCTGAGTATCACAGCTACATCACCATGGTGTGTAAGGTGACACCTGCTATTTGTTTGGTTCATGGATTCAATCAACTGGAGCTAGCCTGCATGGTGGGTTATTGCCCATGGCCAAAGTGCCTTGGAAATCACACAATAAGGAAACTCCAGACAGGCCTGTCCTGAAGATCTGTCATATGGTGTGTGTCTGTTTGTTGATTGACTTCACACTCAGCAATACTCTAGCTATATGATGGCAGACTGTAAATAATCAGATCCGGACCAGGGCCCACTTGCACAAAGCGATCTTAGCCCTAAGACTATTGTAAGCCTATGTTAAAGTATGGGAGTTACGATCATCTTAGCGCTAAGATTGCTTTGTGCAAGTGGGCCCTGATAAAACAGTGATTGATATAGTGAGTTATCCTCCACACCGACAGGGTACGAATATACGCAATCAACCAGGTCACTGATCCAGACCACCAGATCCACTTATTCTCCTCTTATGACCAGCATAGGTTGCTGGGGATCAATTCTGAGGTCTGTGTACTAAGACACAGTGGTGTCCCCGTGTACATCACCGTTGCCTACCTTGCACCCACAGGAGAAGACAGAGTCTCCATGTATGACTAGTGATGACTTTTTAATACTGATGGCTGAGACGGGGAAGTTGTAGCGGTCGCAGGAGAAGCCAAGGACGCCCAGCATCATGGAGGCGCTCCAGCGGGGATTCAGCTTGTCGATCCGAACCTGCAACATGACAACTTGACTTCATACTCCATGGCTCACCTGTAGTTAGAAATATATTGAGTTGTGGCCAACAGAGACAGATTTGAATTTGAACATTCACAGCACGCAGCTGGTGTCGGCATGGGTGTCAAAAATGTAAGAAGTGACAGGTTTTGTTACTTCAATGACTCAGTACTGAAGGATTGTTTTTTCTTTGCTTGTCACTTCATCAGTTGTTCATAGATCTGCCAACCCACAGTTTGAAGTCACTTGTGTAAATCTGTGAGTACATTGCAGCTTTCAGCATTATTCCAGCCACACTATTGTCCTCTGATGCAAGAATTCACACAACGTGCCCCTGTGAGGTTCACACGATGTACCCGTGTCAGGTTCACGTGATGTACCCGTGTCAGGTTCACACGATGTACCCGTGTGAGGTTCACATGATGTACCCGTGAGGTTCACACGATGTACCTGTGTCAGGTTCACACGATGTACCCATGTCAGGTTCACACGATGTACCCATGTCAGGTTCACACGATGTACCCGTGTCAGGTTCACAATGTCCAACCTACCTGAAAGAGCTTCTTGCGTGTGAGGGGTTTGTGGGACACCACGATGCCCTGGTTGTAGCTGGCCACCCGCCGGGCTGTCAGGTTGTTGTTGCTCAGCAGAATATTCTTCCCATGGTTGCCTTGGAAACTGGTGATACTTGCTGCCATGGTGTCGTGGTCCTGGTCTCGATCAGCCTGCACACAAGCAGCATTCATTCCAGGCTCTTAAGTAATTATCAAGACGTACAGTGCACTTCAGCATTTTATTACTTTACAGGACCCTCATATTGCCTACAAGGACCCTTCAAATTAATTATTGGGGTCCCCTGAACCCCCACTTTTGTAAGTCAAGGTGAGGTGAGGTGAAATGGGCGTCCAAGATTATAGTCCGGACTGATGCCGATTTATAGTGCTAGCCCACTGAGATACCATGCCCCAGTTTAACATGAATATCCCACTCAGACACAGTATACTGACTCCGAGCCGACCAGACCTTGTTTTAGCCCCTTAATGCCGAGCGCCAGACAGGGTAACAACAAGTACCATCTTTTAACGTCGTAAGTCAAGGTAAAACCCTGGGATTTGATGTGGCTATGTGCATCTATGTGTTTGCGTGTGCGTGTGCGTGTGCATGTACCTGCATGTGTTGTGACTGCTTGTACTAGCCTGGACACATTCCACCTTCATAGTGCCAGCCCACTGAGATGCCATGGCACAGTTTTAACATGGACACCCCAATCACACACAGCATACTGATTCTGAGCCAACCTGTCCTTATTCTATTCCGTCAATGCCTCGTGCCTTGTGTCCAGTGCCTCGTGCCCAGTGCCTCTGCCCAGTGCCAGACAGGGTTACAATCAGTACCAACTTTTAATGTCTTTTGGTATGACGCGGCCATTTGCACTGACATTGGCAGCAGACTTGTGGCAGAATATCTGCCTCTGAGCAGGTCTAGATAAACTGCTGATGGGGTGTTTGTCCAACTCATATTTGGCCGGATGATCATACACACAGAACACCTCCAAATGTTCACGAAGGAGCACTTACTATTAGGGATGAGGCCAGGGAGTTTTGTTAGAGACAGTAAATTTTTCATATAAGTTTTTCATACAATTGTATTCTCTGAAAGTAGAAGCCACACTTATATTTCTTCACAAGACTTTATATTTCTGTAAACCAGTGAAAAATTTATTTGTTTACAAATCCTGAGGTAAAATGTTGTAATGCAGTATTTCTTTGAACAAATAATATTAAAAAAATACCCCAGCCACCTACCCTAAAAATATCAACTAGGCAGTTCCTTGGTCAAACGACGAGTGTCATGCATACCGTGTTTACCATTAGTTAATAATAAGAAGAAGTCCCATTCGCTGTCTGGGCTGCGTGTAGAGGGAGCACATGTCCACACCATTCAGGGGTATGTGCAGCTCCCTAGGGAGTATACAACCCAAGCTGCCTGATAGGCGCTAGACGAGTGCCAGTTTCTCACCTGGGAATCTACCTGGTCCAGGATGACGGGAGGAGACTTGGGGGTGCTTGGGGTTTCAGCTATTGCACTGCTGATAATACTGACTGACTCCACTGATCCATACAGGTCTATCACAGCGAACACATTCTGCACTCACACAAAGGACAATACATGATTAGACAGTTACAGAAGGCCAAGGTAACGATTACTGTCAAGCAAGCTGTAAGCTAAACAAAACATGAGTAAATAGTGACTGAGGGTACAATACATCAATATGCCATGAGCCCTGAGTCACTTTCCACTGACCATGCTGACCGTCTTTCTCAGCATTGATGGGTCTCCTGTGCTTCCACATACACTTAGAATGATCATACATTCAAAGGGAAAGACCTACGACAATTGTAGTGCTAAAATCTTTGTGGGGAGATTCAGCTTAAAACTGCTTTGAACAGTATTTCAGTTACATCACTTTGATCCCTGTCTCAGACATTTACCACTTTGCCGAAACCCATGAGCACTGGCTGGGCGCTCAGACAACTGGGCCACCCATACCCTGCTGCGTTGAAGGAGGCCCTGGTCGGTGGTGGTAAAATATCTCCACTGTTGTTGGGCAGCCACTGTGGCCACCATGGCAAAGAGAAACAGTGAAAACAATGGATTGTGTTAGGCGGAAATCGTGTGACCTGTGATGTAAAGATATGCTGAAAGACTTATTTACCTTTGGAATGTTGGAAGCAGCTATTCCAAGGTCCTCCCCATTCAGGTAGATATGAAGAGTGCCATCAGAACACCTGCGGATACCGATTCTGTTTCCCACCTGACACAGAGAAACATCAGTGAGAGAGAGGGAGCTGGGTTTAACAGTACAGATGTTGTGACCTGGGGTCCATTCCCGACATGGGTACAATGTGTGAAGCCCATTTCTGGTGTCCTAGTGCCTGATATTGCTGGAATATTGCTAAGAGTGGCATAAAACCATATTCACTCACTCACTCATTATTCTAAGCGATGTGGATTTCAAGTCAAAGGAAGACTAGTTCCAGGTCAACTGGCAATCGCAGAAAGTTACATTCAAGTCAAGACAAAAACACTTGGTTAGTCTGACGACTGAAATGTTCCAGCAATCAATCTCAGTTCATTGGTTATTGCAACGTCAAGGCTGGGACCAAGCACAACATCATGAAGCACAGCCCCCCTTTAATCACCAAGACACACACATTGTCTCAGTTCAATAGTTATTGCAACGTCAAGGCTGCGGCTGGAACCCAGCACAACATCATGAAGCACAGTCCTCCTTTAACCACCAAGACACACACATTGTCTCAGTTCAATACTTATTGCAACATCAAGGCTGCGGCTGGAACCCAGCACAACATCATGAAGCACAGCCCCCCTTTAACCACCAAGACACACACATTGTCTCAGTTCAATACTTATTGCAGCATCAAGGCTGCGGCTGGAACCCAGCACAACATCATGAAGCACAGTCCTCCTTTAACCACCAAGACACACACATTGTCTCAGTTCAATACTTATTGCAACATCAAGGCTGCGGCTGGAACCCAGCACAACATCATGAAGCACAGCCCCCCTTTAACCACCAAGACACACACATTGTCTCAGTTCAATACTTATTGCAGCATCAAGGCTGCGGCTGGAACCCAGCACAACATCATGAAGCACAGTCCTCCTTTAACCACCAAGACACACACATTGTCTCAGTTCAATACTTATTGCAACATCAAGGCTGCGGCTGGAACCCAGCACAACATCATGAAGCACAGCCCCCCTTTAACCACCAAGACACACACATTGTCTCAGTTCAATACTTATTGCAGCATCAAGGCTGCGGCTGGAACCCAGCACAACATCATGAAGCACAGTCGCCCTTTAATCACCAAGACACACACATTGTCTCAGTTCAATACTTATTGCAGCATCAAGGCTGCGGCTGGAACCCAGCACAACATCAGGAAGCACAGTCCCCCCTTTAATCACCAAGACACACACATTGTCTCAGTTCAATACTTATTGCAGCATCAAGGCTGCGGCTGGAACCCAGCACAACATCATGAAGCACAGTCGCCCTTTAATCACCAAGACACACACATTGTCTCAGTTCAATAGTTATTGCAACGTCAAGGCTGCGGCTGGAACCCAGCACAACATCATGAAGCACAGCCCCCCTTTAGTCACCAAGACATTTTCTCTCAGCCGAGGACAACAGAAACACAACATCTTGTAGCCTCATCCTGTACTTCCACACTCAGCTCCACAACACCACCACCATCAAACACCCCTGTGTGTACCTCTAATCTCTCCAGGGAAGGGGCATAGTTTTCTTTGATAGTTTTGCCCGACTTCTTGACCTCCGACCCCGACACAATCCATGTGACCTTGGAGGTGATGTCCTCGGCACTGGCCGGGATCTGTGAGAGCGGGGTGGAGTCCGAGATGGCCATGGTTGTCAGGCCGATGTGTATCGAGCCAGACCACTGGTTGGACACCTCCTCTACCTTCATCTGCAGGAAAGAACGGTTACCAAGGTTACCAAGTACTCTCTTTTTTTATCAGAAGGGTTACCATGGTTACCGATTACTTTTTTTATCAGAAGAGTTACGATGGTTACAAGTACTTTTTTATCAGAAGGGTTACCATGGTTACCAAGTACTTTTTTATCACAAGGGTTACCATGGTTACCAATTACTTTTTTATCAGAAGAGTTACCAAGGTTACCAAGAACTTTTTTATCAGAAGGGTTACCATGGTTACCAAGTACTTTTTGGATTCCAACCCAAAATTTCAATTACAATTTCAAGATCAGTAATTCATTACTTTCAACATTAACTATTTATTATCCTGTGACTTGAAACAGTTGATATTTGTATACTGGATCCATTCATGAATCCTCCACTATTAAGTTGACCGAAGTGAGAGGATCATCCTTGATCTAAACGAAAAGGGGCGGTCGGGTAGCCCTAGTGGTTAAAGCGTTCGCTTGTCACGCCGAAGACCCGGGTTCGAATCCCGACATGGGGAAAATGTGTGAATCCCATTTTTGGTGTCCCCCGCCATGATATTGCTGGAATATCACTCACTCACTCACTCTAAACCAAAAGCCTAGATATGTGAGTGAAATGGGCTCAGGCTCAAGTCCCAGCATTATGATGATTGAAGTGGAATAAGACGGCTGTCTGTAGATAATTGAGTTTGCGCCAGACAATCTGGTGATTGACATCATGAGCATCGATCTTATGCGATTGGGATACAATGACATGCATCAAACAAGTCAGTGAGCCTGACCACCCGATCCCGTTAGTCACACCTTATGACAAGCATGGATTGCTGAAGACCACTTCTAATTCAGATCTTCACAGGACAGCAAGGGAAATGAAGATAGTGATTTTTCACTGTTTCACAAAACACCTGGGGTGGCAACAAGAAGGGCCTTCAAACGAAGACTGGGAATTGAAGCCCGTCCTTGACATCCTTGACTAGACTACCCCCTACCCAGCATCAGTACCATACCAGAATGAAACTTCCCCATACTCACCTCAAACAGCTCATCATACTTAAGTGGCTCGGAGCTGAACACCACCCCGTGGTTGAAGTTCCTCACTCGGTTCGCAGTGCAGCCGTTGTTCTTTATCACAATATTCTTTCCACAGCAGTTACTAAATCTGTGCGTTATTTCTGGAATTATATGGGAAGAGATTACGCACTGAAGGATACTATCAAAATAACATTATGTTCTTTTTCTAGGACATTGATCATCATTCAAACTGTCAAAAAGATATTTTCAAATTCTGTAATGACAAAGGAATGTCCTATGCTATAAAACAATGAAAATTCTCTAATGCCATTCATCTCCACAACGTCGTACTGACCTGAATTGAGAGCAGATGAAAGACTCTGTTCTATGTCCGCGATGACGATATGGTTGTCGGTGGGCAACACACCTGAGCCGCTGGTGATGCTCACCTGGGCACACTGCCCGTACAGGTCCACCACGGCATACACACCTGGAACACAAGACAGCGGATCTACATCCTGGGATGACTCAGGTAGGTCTGCATCACTCCAGCAGGATCCCTTCATGCAGCTGAATACATTCTACGTCCAAGGATCTTCATCCACAAGCCTAACATACTGAAGAATTATCTGGTAAGATGTGAAGCAGTTGAATTGTTATTTGACATGGACTCCTGTAACTGATGCCCATTGTATCTCCACGAGGCAATTCTCTACCTGTGACATTGTGTCTACCTGAGGCCATTGTGTCTACCTGAGGCCATTGTGTCTACCTGAGGCCATTGTGTCTATTGTGACATTGTATCTCCCCGAGGCCATTGTGTCTATTGTGACATTGTATCTCCCAGAGGCCATTGTGTCTACCTGTGACACTGTATCCACCCAAGACATTTGTGTATACCTGGGAAATTGTGCCTATACCTGGGACAATGTGTCCACCTTGTGTGTTGTGTCTACCTGGGACATTGTGTCTACCTGGGACAATGTGTCCACCTGTGACACTGTATCCACCCAAGACATTTGTGTATACCTGGGACATTGTGCCTATACCTGGGACATTGTGTCCACCTTGTGTGCTGTGTCTACCTGAGGCCATTGTGTCTACCTGGGACAATGTGTCCACCTGGTGTGCTGTGTCTACCTGGGACATTGTGTCTACCTGGGACAATGTGTCCACCTTGTGTGCTGTGTCTACATGGGACATTGTGTCTATACCTGGGACAATGTGTCCCCCTTGTGTGCTGTGTCTACCTGAGGCCATTGTGTCTATACCTGGGACAATGTGTCCACCTTGTGTGCTGTGTCTACCTGAGGCCATTGTGTCTATACCTGGGACAATGTGTCTATACCTGGGACAATGTGTCCACCTTGTGTGCTGTGTCTACCTGGGACACTTTGTCTATACCTGGGACAATGTGTCCCCCTTGTGTGCTGTTTCTACCTGGGGCCATTGTGTCTACCTGGGACACTTTGTCTATACCTGGGACAATGTGTCCACCTTGTGTGCTGTGTCTACCTGGGACATTGTGTCTATACCTGGGACAATGTGTCTCTACCTGGGACAATGTGTCCACCTTGTGTGCTGTGTCTACCTGGGACATTGTGTCTCTACCTGGGACAATGTGTCCACCTTGTGTGCTGTGTCTACCTGGGACATTGTGTCCCCCTCGTGTGCTGTGTCTACCTGGGGCTATGTCCTGACATGCCACGCCCTGGTCCTCTCCATTCAGGAAGAAGTGTAGGCTGCCATCAGAGCATCTCATCATCCCGATGCGTGACCCCACCACGATGGCATCCAGATCAAGTGGGTACCCGTTTCTGATTGTCGAACCATCCTGCATGATCGCTGACCCACTGTGGAAGACAAACAGAAGGTAATGGGAGCAACTCGGGGCAATCAAGTAAACAATGCCATAAACCTTTGTCAATAACAACAGCAGCCTTCGCAAAGTCAAGTCACCATGGCAACAACATTAGTCAGAAATTATCACATCCATAGCAGAATGAACTTGTCGCACAGTCACTTGAAGAAAATATATTGTTGACTAACTAAGTTATCAATCAAATAAAGTAAATGGTGGTCAGTTCTAAGAACAATATGCAATAATGATTAAAGTCAATAGTAATAATGGTGTTTGAATTTCCACTGCAGCCTTAAGGAAGCTACCTCATTCACAGTAACCATGGTAACCTTATAGTACCTTTAACGTAACTTTGAGACAAGACTCCCTGTGGGGCTTCTGGGTAAGAATTGGTCCCCAGAAACCAGTGCTGGTCTCCCTGTGGGGATTCTGGGTAAGAATTGGTCCCCAGAAACCAATGCTGGTCTCCCTGAGGGGCTTCTGGGTAAGAATTGGTCCCCAGAAACCAATGCTGGTCTTCCTGTGGGGCTTCTGGGTAAGAATTGGTCCCCAGAAACCAATGCTGGTCTCCCTGTGGGGCTTCTGGGTAAGAATTGGTCCCCAGAAACCAACGCTGGTCTCCCTGTGGGGCTTCTGGGTAAGAATTGGTCCCCTGAAACCAATGCTGGTCTCCCTGTGGGGCTTCTGGGTAAGAATTGGTCCCCAGAAACCAATGCTGGTCTCCCTGTGGGGCTTCTGGGTAAGAATTGGTCCCCAGAAACCAATGCTGGTCTCCCTGTGGGGCTTCTGGGTAAGAATTGGTCCCCAGAAACCAATGCTGGTTTCCCTGTGGGGCTTCTGGGTAAGAATTGGTCCCCAGAAACCAATGCTGGTCTCCCTGTGGGGATTCAGCTGGAATATTGCTGGGTGAGGCACTAAACAACAAACAAATGACTAACGCCTACCTGAGCATCCACGTGTCGTACTCGATGTCGGTCATGGTGTTGGGGAAGTCCAAGTCCTCGGGCTTAATGAGAGTCACACCTGAAACCAGTGCCAGGTAATTATAGTGGTTGTTGAAATAGGGCAGTCTATCACATTCAGGGGTGGTACAAGTGTACACGTCATGAAGAAGAAACTTATTCTACGGATGAACATCGAAAATGACAAGAACACATCAACATAAACGCAATCTTCAGAGATAAACAGGACTGAAAGTTCATGCAAACTGTATGCACATTTCAGATATTTTTGATACAATGTACATAGATTTACAATTATTAAAATTACATGCAAAATAAAAAAAAATATAGTGTGTACATATCCAAACTTATATTAACTGATCAAAAGTGCATACACTGTTTCCATGTGAAATATCTAAAAATGGCTAAAATATATAGAACTATGTCCAGAAAGCAGTTACTTGCAATTCAAGACCTATTTCGCCAATATTGAGGGATTGTCTAAATATTTGGTAAAACAATCTTCAATATATCTAAAGGGACAAGAACCTAAAGATGGTGAAGCAGGAGGCTCAGGAAACACCAACTGATTTAAGACGACTCCAGTCTCAGTTGGTTTGGTTGGTTGTTTAACGCCGCACTCAGAAATATTCCAGCTATATGACGGCGGTCTGTAAGTAATCGAGTCTGGACCAAACAATCCAGTAATTGACATTATGACCATCGATCCACGCAATTGGGATCGATGACAGGCATCAACCAAGTCAGCAAGCCTGACCACCCGATCCCGTTAGTCGCCTCTTACGACAAGCATAGTCGCCTTTTACGGCAAGCATCTGTTGCTGAAGACCTATTCTACCCCGGATCTTCACGGGTCCCAGTCTCAGCCTTACAACGATCACAAGTCTGTGTTAGAGTATGGGACTTACGACAGCCATAGTGCTACATCACTTTGTGGAGTGGATCACAAGTTCAGTTAGTCCTACAATTCTAAAGGAACCTACACCAGTCGTCCTACTGTTTTTGAGTATCACATAATAGTTTCATGCTGTTGTCAGTAATATTAGTATGTCATGGCAGCCCCAAAGCTTAGTGTGAGCACTGATCCTTGTTTGGATGAAGGGCATGCTAGTATACGTGTGCTTACTAAGGGAGGAAGACATGTTTACCACTGAAACCCATGAACAACAGACAGGGCTGACAAACCAGGGGATTAGAACACAGAATGAATGGATCCTGGTACAACAAAGGGAGGTAACACACAGATGGCTGACAGGTCTAGGGTCATAATCTGAGCTAATCTGGGATCCTAACTGATCAGCAGATCCTGGCAAGGCCCAAGAAGTGTCAAATTACTTTTGTTCCACTGACATTATATTGCTCTGTGAGGACATATTTCTGACTACAGGCTGGTGTAAGGCCTTTCAGTCAGATCATCCTGTGGCAATCTTTAATGTACGCTGTAGTCACCACTGACACGATGTAAACACTGGCTATACAATCAAATTACACCTTTCATCCCTGACTTAAACAATCAGCAATATCACATGTCCAGTTTCCACCCTTGGCGAACTAGCCTGGAATTATGGAGTTACATTTTGGCTGGACTAACGAGTCTGTGCATAGACCTAGACACCCGGTTCGTAAACAACATGCATTTCAACGTGCAGATTTCGGTCAACTGCAGGATTGGATTTGCAAAGCATGTGTACCGCTAGCTGGGTGTCTACAGACATTTTGCAAATTCTGTCATGTTTTTATATTTAGATGCTCAGGTAATTTGATGCACTTCAAGGGGTAAAACATGTATTATTGAGTGAGTGAGTGAGTGAGTGAGTGAGTGAGTGAGTTGGGTTTAATGCCGCTTTAACAGTATTTCAGTTATGTCAGCTATATTGTCAGCTAGATGTTGGAGGAAAGCCCAAAGTGATGCAGGTCTCAGACATTTACCACTTTGGTGAAACCCACGAGCATGGGTATGGTGCTGACAAACCTAGAAACATAATCAAACCCGCTATCACAGGTTTCTGGCAATTTCTTTTCATCAATTCCTAAATCAAGCCACAGTGAAGACTATGTGAATCGTATTTATCAAAACAAGCATGAAATACTTGTATCCCCCGCCAATATGACATGTCCGGTTGTGTGTAAGGCAATAGCCCTCCAGAAAAGATCACTACTACCTCAACAAATGGCACCACGTTACCGTAAGAACCTATCTATGTGCCAAGTTTGGTGAAGAAATATCGTATGGTTTTCAAGATCTGCTCCGGAAAGCAGCACTAATGCCATTTTCAGTCTACATCAAAGTCGTTGCCATGGAAACTCGAAAATAAATTTGTCAAAAATCCCAAACAATCAAAAGGCAGCAGCTTACCACTAGACCTATCTATGTGCCAAGTTTGGTTAAGATATCTTTCATGGGTTTTCAGTTCTGCTCCGGAAACAAAGCGTGACAGACGGAAGGAAGGACGGATGGACGGACAGCACCCCCATTGCTATATCCCCCTTCCACTTGGTGGTGGGGCATAATAAACTGGTGACATAATACATTTTTATTTGGAGGGAGGCCAGGCAATCAGTTACACAGATTCACAACAGCTACATTGTACCAAGGGGAGGACAACATATACCAGGCCCACTGTCGCAGAGTAAAGGCAAGGAGGAATAAATATTGTTTTACGCCGCATCAGCAAAATAAATGGCAAAGTCCATGAAAAGCAGCATAGGTTCATAGAGGAAGCAACATGACACGCTGACAAACAACATACATTGCTCTGACACAAGAAACTGAACCAAAGATTGTGTTTCTTTTTATTGAGTAAATGTATGTTGTTTTACGCCGCACTCGGGACAGTCATGGAGACGGCACCCAAACAAAGAGTGAAACAAGTGTAGTCTTAGTGTATCGGTACGTTTAAGTCAGTCTTAGTGCACCGGTACGTTTAAGTCAGTCTTAGTGTATCGGTACGTTTAAGTCAGTCTTAGTATATCAGAACGTTTAAGTCAGCCTTAGTGTTATCGGTACGTTTAAGTCAGTCTTAGTGTATCGGTACGTTTAAGTCAGTCTTAGTGTATCGGTACGTTTAAGTCAGCCTTAGTGTATCGGTACGTTTAAGTCAGCCTTAGTGTATCGGTACGTTTAAGTCAGCCTCAGTGTATCGGTACGTTTAAGTCAGTCTTAGTGTATCGTTACGTTTAAGTCAGTCTTAGTGTACCGGTACGTTTAAGTCAGTCTTAGTGTATCGGTACGTTTAAGTCAGTCTTAGTGTACCGGTATGTTTAAGTAAGTCTTAGTGTATCGGTACGTTTAAGTCAGCCTTAGTGTATCGGTATGTTTAAGTAAGTCTTAGTGTATCGGTATGTTTAAGTCAGTCTTAGTGTATCGGTACGTTTAAGTCAGCCTTAGTGTATTGGTACGTTTAAGTCAGCCTTAGTGTATCAGTACGTTTAAGTCAGTCTTATTGTATCGGTACGTTTAAGTCAGCTCTTAGTGTATCGGTATGTTTAAGTCAGCTCTTACAGTAAACATGAGGTGGCTCGGGCCTATTCTGCCCTGGAATCTATACTCGGTATATCAATGATAAACTTGTTTGTTTGTGTTTGTTTCTTGTTGTTTAACAACGCACCCAGATATATTCCAGCTGTATGACAGCGGTCTGTAAATAATTGAGTCTGGACCAGACAATCCAGTGATTGTTATCATGAGCATCGATCCACACAATTGGGATACGATGACATGCATCAACCAAGTCAGTAGCCTGACCACCCGATCCCATTAGTCGCTTCTTACGACAAGCATGGGTTGCTGAAGACCTATCTTCCAGATCTTCATGAATAAATACAGCAGGGAGTTGAGCTTCACATGACTCATCTTTTACCAAGAAAACAACAATGCTGCCTAATTTGGTATATATATATTTTATAAGTCATAAATATTTGATTTGGTTCCACCAGAAATCTACTTCCCAGCTATTGCAGAAGCCAACACTATGTACAGACATAGCTCCACTATAGTCCTGGATCTATGTGCATAAGGCGATCTTAGCACTTTCATGACCGCAAGTCCCATTCTGTAACATAGGCTTACGATAGTCGTGGCCCTAAGATCACTTTGTGCAAGTGGGCCCTGGATCTATGTGCATAAGGCGATCTTAGCACTTTCATGACCGCAAGTCCCATTCTGTAACATAGGCTTACGATAGTCGTGGCCCTAAGATCACTTTGTGCAAGTGGGCCCTGGATCTATGTGCATAAGGCGATCTTAGCACTTTCATGACCGCAAGTCCCATTCTGTAACATAGGCTTACGATAGTCGTGGCCCTAAGATCACTTTGTGCAAGTGGGCCCTGGATCTATGTGCATAAGGCGATCTTAGCACTGAGATGATCGTAACTCCCATTCTGTAACATAGGCTTACAATAGTCGTAACGCTAAGATCACTTTGTTCAAATGGGCCCAGTTCCATCGACTTTGGATTGTCCCATTTTAAGGCTGTTTGAGGAACACGGCCCAGGTTTACAGTGTGGCTGGGGACTTCAACATTTCTCTTCTCGCTCAAATACACCCATATTCAGCTATTACAGGCAGATATTTAAATAGGAAAGTTACGCCAATCGGAAATGACTGCAAAGTTACCATCTACTCTGGTAGACAAAATATTTATGTTACATTGAAATCTTCTGAAATTTGAAAATATGTTATTTATGTGCTTATTTTCATATTGTAAAAATATTACACAATAATTATTAAAAAAATCAGCAAAATGAAATTAGTAATATGGATAGCTAGTTCTTGCAAGACAGCACTGCATCACAGAACACAGTGGGTGGCCTGGATTCTAGGGCTGGGATGGGTAACTCAGGTATTCGGGTTGGGTGGGTCCAGAGTAGGCCCCGGGTACCCACAGGACGACAGGAACCGTGGTTAGTCATGTGATATTCTGTTTAATGACAATAACAATCAAACTCCATGGTTACACTACAAGTCACGATATGGTCACATTTCTTTCTGACTATGCACAAATTTCTTTCTGAATATTACATGTTTGAGTAAAGATAAAGCTTGAGTCAACATCAGTGTATGCATGATCAGATCATGTTATGCATGTATTTAGTTTTTTCCAGGGCTCCTGTAAAACAATTCTCAAGTGGACATTTTGTTGGCAACTCTTGAGGCCTACAGCAGGTATCCGGGTGGGGTTGGGTAATAGGGGGTCGGGTACGGGGTAGTAAATTTGGACTCATCCCAGCCCAACGACGCTCAGTGGTGCAGCCTCCTGGTGTCAAATAGCCCAGCTTATATATAGCTCTATATATAGAGGTGTATGTAGGTATTAGTAATACAAAGGTTCTTGTCAAATAGCCCAGCTTATATATAGCTCTATATATAGAGGTATGTATGTATTAGTAAAACAAAGGTTCTTGTCAAATAGCCCAGCTTATATACAGCTCTATATATAGAGGTGTACGTAGGTATTAGTAAAACAAAGGTTCTTGGGTTATTGGTTAAAAGCAAACAAGCGGGGTGTCCAGCACTGCCTTGTTCAACATAAACATGAGTAAAAGATGACAGATGTTTCTGGTTAGGTTCAGAACTTGATGAAACTAAATCATATCAATTGTCACATTCTGTATTCACCATAATAACAGCAATTGGTGCTTTGTATATTGACAATCATATCCAATGTTACATACTGTATTCACCATAATAACAGCCCTTGGTGCTTTGTATATTGACAAAAGTCAAATTTGTTTTGAACACACTTAGTTCAAATATTGATGAAAATAAAATATTTTTGCTGACACTTAAGATAAAGCATGCCTGTCACCATGGTAACCTGTTAACTCTCTTTGTACCACTTATAAACTCCAGCCTCACGGACTGAATCATGCATTTTTTATGTAAAAAAAACTAATCTTCAAAACATTACTTCTTGCAGAAAACACATGCATGTAACAGGCAACATTCCTTGCAGAAACATGAAATAAGTTGTAGATTTTTGCCACGGAGTCATTTGCAACAATTACAGGACTTAACCCTATAAGCAGTGGTGGACACCTTGCAAGTTCAGCAGGATGAGATCTACACAGAGAGACAGGCAGTTCCTTGAAGCCCAGCCTAATCAACCTTAATAATAATGTACTTAATGGCTTTTTTCAAAGACAAGACAAAACATTCACCAATTAAAATTAAAATTTGAAGCCAGAAAAAAGAAAACATCCAAACACAGGAAACTCAATAAAAAGCAGAAAAATTTCATGCACTATACAGGAAGGGCATTCTATTCAAGGTCCAAACCTCACTGGCCTCAATCTGGAGTAAGCAGACTTGGGGGCGCAATTTCAAACCTTAAATATGAAGGTGAAGGCCAAACGTGCAAACATGACTAGTATCTAAGCAGATGCAACATACCAAGTTTCACCCCGTGTTGTTTCAGGGACGTGACATGATCTGGCCAGGTAGGTGTGCACCCATTGACACCTAGAGACACACGGTAAACCACAGTCAAACCCAGCACATATATGAATACAGCAGTATTGTGGCATGGAAATTATCAACTTGTGCTTGCTCGTTTCTTGTTTAAAGCTGCGCTCAGCACTATTCCAGCCATATGACAGCGGTCTGTAAATAATCGAGTCTGGACCAGACAATCCAGTGATTGACATCATGAGCATCAATGAACACAATAAGGGATAAGATGACATGCATCAACAAAGTCAGCAAGCCTGACCACTTGATCCTGTTAGTCACCTCGTACGACAAGCATAGTCGCCTGTTACGACAAGCATGGTTGCTGAAGGCCTATTCTCACCTGGGTCTTCATGGTGTAAATTATCAACAGAAAACTTCTTAAAACTGCTTTGTTTTGTTTGTTGTTTAATGCCGCACTCAGCAATATTCTATTGATATGAGATCAGCCTGTAAGTTAACAAGACTAAGCCAGTGATGCCAGGGGTTGATATTATGAGCATCAATCCACACTGTAGGTGTCATTGTCAACCAAGTCACCGAGTCAGACCACTCAATTCATTATGTCGCCTCTTACGACAAGATTGGAGGACCCATTTTAACCCAGAATCCCCATATGAACTACTGATGAAATGCTCGGTAACAGATTGAGGCATGTGTGCTGGACCAGACAATCCAGTGATGAGGCATGTGTGATGACATGGGGGGTGATGCCAGTCAGCAATATTGCAGCTATATGATGGCCAGACAATCCTGTGATGAAGTATGTGTGCTGACATGGAGGGTGATGCCAGTCAGCAATATTGCAGCTGTATGATGGCTGGACCAGACAATCCTGTGATGAGGCATGTGTGATGACATGGGGGGTGATGCCAGTCAGCAATATTGCAGCTACATGATGGCTGGACCAGACAATCCAGTGATGAGGCATGTGTGATGACATGGGGGGTGATGCCAGTCAGCAATATTGCAGCTATATGATGGCTGGACCAGACAATCCTGTGATGAGGCATGTGTGCTGACATGGGGGGTGATGACAGTCAGCAATATTGCAGCTATATGATGGCTGGACCAGACAATCCAGTGATGAGGCATGTGTGCTGACATGGGGGGTGATGACAGTCAGCAATATTGCAGCTATATGATGGCTGGACCAGACAATCCAGTGATGAGGCATGTGTGCTGACATGGGGGGTGATGCCAGTCAGCAATATTGCAGCTATATGATGGCTTGACCAGACAATCCAGTGATGAGGCATGTGTGCTGACATGGGGGGTGATGCCAGTCAGCAATATTGCAGCTATATGATGGCTGGACCAGACAATCCAGTGATGAGGCATGTGTGATGACATGGGGGGTGATGCCAGTCAGCAATAATGCAGCTATATGATGGCTGGACCAGACAATCCTGTGATGAGGCATGTGTGCTGACATGGGGGATGATGCCAGTCAGCAATATTGCAGCTATATGATGGCTGGACCAGACAATCCAGTGATGAGGCATGTGTGATGACATGGGGGATGATGCCAGTCAGCAATATTGCAGCTATATGATGGCTGGACCAGACAATCCAGTGATGAGGCATGTGTGATGACATGGAGGGTGACAGAGCCCTGTCACACAACACACACTGTGTCAACAATGCCACTGGAGTACAAGGTGTGGGTGGGTGAGTGAGTGAGTGTTGAGGAACACTGCAGTTTACCATGACACACGTTATAGTCACATAGATCTAGTGTTCAAAACAAAGGCCATCCTGGGCCCTTCAGGCTTGCTGCTGTACCCTTTGATGTTCAGTTTGTTTTTTGCTTAATGTCACTCAGGAATGTTCCAACTATGTGACAGAAGTCTGTAAACAGTGGAGTCTGGACCAGACAAACAGGTGATCAATATTGTGAGTGAGTATGGTTTTAGCAATATTCCAGCAATATCACGGCAGGGAACACAAAAAATGGGCTTCACACATTGTACTCATGTCGGGAATCGAAACCGGGTCTTCGGCGTGACAAGCAAATGCTTTAACCACTAGGCTACCCGACCGTCCCCCCTGGAGGGTCAGTGAATATGGTTTGATGCCGATTTTAGCAATATTGCAGCAATATCATGGATGTTGGGACTCAGCAAAAGAGGGAAAAGGTTAAATTTGGTCTGACGACGGTGAACTTGTGGTTGATAATGTGACAGTGGATCTTCATCAAGTAGAGTTCAGTTATCCAGTATACCATATCAGCATTCTATTAGGACAAGTACCAACAACCCATTTGCTAACCTGTTTACTTGGAGTCAAATGACATGACACCGATCAAATTTCACACAAATGTGATAGTGTGAGGCAGGGCGATGGAGATGGTCGTTTCACTAAAGTAAAAGGTCCTTGGCCCAGACTTGATTATTTACAGACTGCCATGTAGCTGAAACATTGCGGAGTGCGGCATTTAACAAAAAACGTGAACAGCCATTGTGACCATTCCCTCAGTTAGTCTTGTGACCAGAGTGTGATGTACTACTCAGGTGTGCATGTACTCAAGGGATGGTAGTGTCCATTCTAACATGTGCAAATGGCCATTCTAGGAGCTACTGACACAATATAGAAATCAAAAGATGTAAAACTGAAGACAGATGAGAACTCACAGAGGAAACATGGATAAAGATAAATATTGCCACACAAAGTTACTTCCTAAGTTTGCTCCTAGGAGTAACACGTTTAGATGAGGACTCCCCACAGGGCCTACACAGTGATGGAATCTTACTGATATTACTAATTCTCTATCGCCACATATGAAGCTTAGGTTGTGGGGATCTCTGGGTGATATATTCCCCTGAATCCTCTGCTGCAGTGACAGTGAATGTATGTAAAGAAGGGAATAATCTTGGATTCTTAACCATGGCAGGCAAATTGGCAAAGGAAATCAAGTTCTTGTTTTCATTAAACCCAGAGGTATTTTAACCTAGTATTTGAAGATTGCAGTCAATGCAATAGTGTGAAACTGCATAAAAGCCTCTTCCTTTATTGATCCTGGTATCAGATATGTGTATCTATCTAAATATACACTTGACATATTATGAGAATCATTTTTGTGTGTCACTGAAAGATGAAAATATCCCGTTCAAAAGGGGAGAACTTTAAATCCAATTTGGAAATGTTTAATGACATTTGCTGAAGATTTAGAGCCGAGTATCGACCTCTGAGGTCTAGACAAATCCCTGGAAACACATGCAGCTTCAGCTTAATCACTAAGCAGAGGTAGCCTAATAGTTGAAGCCAAAGACCCAGTTTGATTTTCACATGGCCCTATGTGTGAACCTATGCTTGCTGTTCCCATGCGGCAATGTCACAGTGGATGACAGACACAGTAAGTTTTTCGTAATTGTCAAGAAATATGTCCTGGACCTTTTCAACACACTGACTCCCCACTGATAAAACTGAAATTTATCTTGGATACTTGGGACTCCCCTGAAACAGTGGTTATTGGAGAAGCCATTTTGAGAAATTCTTTAAAACACATGTTTTCGATCAACTTCTGTTACTGTAGACCTTATATACCGTACCAAACTAAGTGAAGCTCTCAACAGTCATGTTGTTTATTCCTCTGAAGAGTACACAGCTTAGCTTGACCACACAAGCCAGACAGACAGCTACAGTCAACGGTCACTCACCTGCTTCGATCGACCCTGACCACCGGTCAACCATCCTCTCAATGACCACCTCGAACAGTTCGTTGTCTCTCAACGGACGACTGCTCATCACGATTGCATCATTGAACTCTCCCGTAGCGTTTGGTCTGGCGGCAGTCTTGCCGTTGTTGAGGACGGTGGCATTGTGACCGTGCAGGTGGTGGAACCGCACATCGTCAACATCGGTGAAGACACTGGACTCCAGGTCAGGAGAACTCAGCACTTCTACAACACCCAGAACAACACGGGTCATCAGTAAAGGCAGCAACGCTTTCCCCATCACTTGCCCAACAGACACACATGTAGAAAAAGTAATTCAAATGTTAACTGTTAAGGTTAGTTTGTAAATACAAAAGGCTAAAAAAAATAATAGTCTTGGTTCTCATGCACCGTCTGCATCATCATAAAGTCTGCGGCATGTTTTGTTTTTGATTCCATTTTAAATTTGACAAAAAATCCTGATACTTAAAAACAATGCGATCCAACATAGCACGCAGTTACCTCCCTTTACATGTGCATTGCTTTACTGTGCATCTTGTGTTATGGTGATGGTTGCAATGTATGCTTGTTTATGTTGGGAGTCCCTTTCCCCGGTTGATGGTACACAACTGTTTATCTGGTTGATACTAGTTTGAACAAGCACACAAAAAAACCACCACCCACGGCACTATAGTTTCAAAAGTCATTGCCCGAGAACCAATTCTTTTATATTTTTAAGCCTGAAAAGATCTTGCAAGAGCCAGTCTTCATTCAAGATGGCTGCACCAAGAGTGATGACTTCATAGTCGCTAGGGTAACTTGTTCAGTGCTAAGTAAAGTTTTATATGATCGTATATATGATTGTTTGTTTGTTTGTTTGTTTGTTTGTGGTTTGACGCCGCACTCAGCAATATTCCAGCTATATGACGGCAGTCTGTAAATAATTGAGTCTGGATCAGACAATCCTGTGATTGATGTCATGAGCATCAATGCACGCAATTGGGATCGATGACATGCATCAACAAGTCAACGAGCCTGACCACCCGATCCCGTTAGTCGACTTTTACAAGCTTGGGTTGCTGAGGACCAATTCTACCCAGGATCTTCCCGGGTCTTCACGGGTTATATCTACAGGTAACCTAGCTCTGCATATACACTGAAAACACAGTATGTTTATCTCCTAATCACCAAGGGCAGGGACTGGCAATATACATGTCTACCCTAAAAGCAACATGTCGGCTTCTGCACTAGAAATAAGGAGTTGGAGTCATGCTAATGTTTTACTGCCCACCTGACTGGTCAACTATTGTAGCCTGTGCTGCCTGGCCATACAGGTCAATGACCCCGTACACCATCTCGGGAACACTGGATGCAGCTGGACCCTGGTCAACACCATTGACGAAGAAGTGCAGAGTCCCATCTGGTTTGCGTACCACGCCCACTCTGTCTCCCACCTGCAGAAACAGCATCCATGTATTATGTACGTGTGGTACACGACGGAGGAGATGTTCTTACATGATACTGAGTGAACTTGAAGCATCAACATACACATCGGACCTCATCTACCTGACACAAGGGAGATAACAGACTCTACACATCTACCTGACACAAGGGAGATAACAGACTCTACACATCTACCCGACACAAGGGAGATAACAGACTCTACACATCTACCCGACACAAGGGAGATAACAGACTCTACACATCTACCCGACACAAGGGAGATAACAGACTCTAAAATTTTAGTTTCCACCCTTGCCAAACTCGGCTGGAATTTCTGGGCTCAATTGTAGCACCACCAGTGACTATTACGATTTATGTCCCTTCTATGTCCATCTTACTGATCAATCAGATTCCACCCCTCATATCACTTGCATTTGCTTTAAAAAATGACGGTGCCTAGTCAAGACCATCTGATCAATCAGAGCTCCAGATAAGCTTTTGGTGTTGTGGGTATTTTACCCATGCATTTTAAAATCATTTGGTATCAGTAATTCTATCTGGGTATTCAAATTTCTGTTACCCACTAGTTTTTACACATGTGGGTATTTAAGTTAAATATTTAAAAACACTATTCATCTAGTCCCTGCAAACTGGTGTCATGTGGGTTCGAGAGCTTTATAGGACTAAACAACACACGATACTTCCACAAGAAAGTGTGATGGCAAATGATCATGATGTAACTGTCATCGTGGAGTTTGGCAAGGTTGACGGAATGTCCGTTTATAATTTCAAAATAAGTTGCTGATTTGCTTATCGAATACTCAGGGTTACTTCATAATATTTTGATGATACGGACAAGTTTTATTTTTGTAGGGAATCTGTAATGTTTGTTGCGTATTTGATACGCTTGGATTTGATTTTACTGCGTATTTCTGCATTTTTGATGCGTATTTTACGCAGATACGCAGCTTATCTGGAGCTCTGGATCCACAATCAAAATCTCTATTGTCATAAAACTATATTGGCATTAAATCACTTAAGAACTTTCATAAAAAACATGAAATGATTTGGTAAGTATCTGTCAAAACCCAGTTGGCGGTGCATATGCTCTGCAAATCCTGCAATCGAACGAAATCGGTATCGCAGTTGCCATGTTGTTTATGAACTAGATGTCGATTGGGTGGTCGGGTAGCCTAGTGGTTAAAGTGTTTGCTCGTCACGCCGAAGACCCGGGTTCGAATCCCGACATGGGTACAATGTGTGAAGCCCATTTCTGGTGTCCCCCGCCATGATATTGCTAGAATATTGCTAAAAGTGGCATAAAACCATACTCACTCACTCACTCACTCACTCGATTGGACTTTGCATAGACTCGTTAGTCCAGCCAAAAACTCCATAATTCCAGCCTAATTCGGCAGGTGTGGAAACTGGACTTTTAAAGTCAGTTAAATCCCTTGTTATGGGAAGATGTACGAACCAGTAAAACTTGCACACGTGGACAAGCAATGAATAGATATTTCTTCTGTTTTTGAATACATTTAAGAATAAATGTGCCATACATATTCTGTACCATGAGTAGAAATGTTTATTACAAGGCTTGGCAGACAGCTTGTAGACATAATATTGGCCATAAAAATGATCCGATTGCAAACAACCCACATCCAAAATTGAGGAGGGAAATTCCTTGCAATAAGAAACATATTTTTCTTGCAGACCGGGTGAAAATAACGAACTCCTATAAAATGATGCTGAATATGCTCTCCAACTCATCTAATCAATCATGTTGACATTACGTAAAAATAAGTAATCCATTATTATTCTATTACAAAATTATCTTAAAAGTTTGAGATATGAAATATTTTCAAAAAGCAATAAAAATAACATACATCTACCTTTAAGCGATCCAAGTTTTGACCATATTCATCAATAATGGTGGTTCCGTTGTGCATGACGCCGTTCCCTGTCATCATCCAGGTGCCTGAGCGAATGTTGGTCATCGTGGAGGGATAGTCCAGCTCCTCGGGGGAGTGTAACGTCACCCCGATCTCAATAGACCCCGCCCACTTGTCAACCATTCTCTCGAGTCGAACTTCGAAAACTTCATTAGCTCGCAAACAGCGATTTGTAAGCACGACACCGTTGTTGAAGTCATCAAGAGCACTGAAAAAAGAAGGCGAATTATCTATATCCCTGCCCACTGTCAAAGACAATGATATATGCAATGAAATGTGATATTTTAAATTATCAGTTTATCCACCTGCTTGAGGAAGAGGTTGTATACAAGAGCTACGGCCAAACATCTCCCTGAAGATCCGGGGTAGAATAGGTCTTCAGCAACCCATGCTTGCTGTAAAAGGCGACTATGCATGTCGCAAGAAGCGACTAACAGGATCGGGTGGTCAGGCTCACCGAGTTAGTTGATGCATGGCATCTTATCTCAATTGCAAGGATCGATGCTCATGATGTCAATCACAGGACTGTCTGGTCCAGACTCGATTTTTTACAGACCGCCGTCATATAGCTGGAATATTGCTGAGTGCGGTGTTAAACAACAAATGTATAACATCTCCAAAAAACTTGTCGGCTTTAGTAAGACTGTTTGATAACCAAAGTTTTAATCATCTTCCAGCATGTGAAGGCTGAGCATATTTTGTATCCTTGAGCACTGCACAATTCACTCATTAAGACGAAGGTACCCAGTACAGATGAGATACAAAAGTCGTGAGCATGCTGACCCTTAAATTCTGGTGAGTTTCTAATACATCTACAATGAATCCTTTTACAGCTTTGTTTGTTGCAGTGTCTACTGGTGTGCCACTTTTTGAAATAAGGAAATGATTTTTAAATCGTAACACAACAAAGACTCTTGACAGTGTCCGTCTCTACATCCCCGCTAACTTTGTTGGGGAGGGGGTCATAGTGAGTGAGTGAGTGAGTGAGCGAGTGAGTGAGTGAGGTTTTACGCCGCTTTTAGCAATATTCCAGCAATATCACAGGAGGGGACACCAGAAATCAGCTTCACACATTGTACCCGTGTCGGGAGTCGAACACGAATCTTCGGCGTGACGAGTGAACGCTTTGACAACTAGGCTACCTGACCGCCTCGGGACAGATGACAGTGATACAGTGGAGAGTGAGTAATTATTGCATAAGGCTGCATCAGCAATTATGACACAGTTCTACACCTGACGAGATATTTGCTGCCCGAGGCATCATCCTCAATTAAGGGGGCATAGCAGTCAATTATCTCAATTCCATTCTCCTGTCACTTCATCAACTCATTGATGGAATTTTGCATCATCCTGATTGCAGAACTCCTAACTAACAGTCAGTGAGTGGGTTAAAATTTACCGTCGGATCAGCATTATTTCAGTCATATAAGCAATGAGAATGAGTTGATATATATACACAATTGCATCATGAATACAAAGTTATTATAAGGGTAACGATATTTTTCAGGGCATTATAATTTGCAGAAGCCCAAAGTCTTCAATTAACTTCCCGACGAAGGAGGCAAAATGATAATGCCCTGAAAAATAGCGTTACAGTTATTATATCTAAAATAGATGGAATTTGTTATCAAATAAAAAGAAACAACGATATCGGTTTTGAAACATTTACTGCAATCAATACAAATCTCACTGACCCACTTTTACAAATATGGAAACATCATAGAACAAACCAGATGACGTCACTATTGAACCTGACGTCACCTATCCCTATCCTATGACGTCACCTAACAACGGGCGTGATAATGGCCCGTGGTTAAGCAATATGAGGGCATTATCAAGTTACAGTGGCCCGCTGATTTCTGTTAACATGTGGGCGGTTTAATGATACTTCTATCCATCTATCCTATCTAGCTATAAATTAAAATACAAATTTGTCAAACATATTTGGGCATAACAATATTACCTACAACTGTTTAATAACACAGGCTATAAGCCACCAGTAACCAGAACACAAGTGTGGACTTACTTTGGCCTGTGGGCAGTTCGGTGGCTGTTGATGACTGCAGCGTGAGCTCCACAGTGTGGGTTGAACAGCAGCTTCTCCCCATCCTCCTCTGTGGACCAGAAGGTGAGATATGAATAAATGAAACACTGAGAAAGACGGGTACTCCAGGGCTTATACCAGGGTTTTTTTTTGTTTGTTTGTTTTTTGCCGCACTTGGCAATATTCCAGCTATATGACGGCGGTCTATAAATAATTGGGTCTGGACCAGACAATCCAGTGATTGACAACATGAGCATCAATCTATGAAATTGGTGGGATACGATGACATGCATCAAGTCAGCTAGCCTCACTACCGATCCCTTAAGTCACCTCTTACGACAAGCAGTCGCCTTTTACAGCAACTGTCACCTTCAGGAGAGATGTGAATACATGATCTTAACTCTTCTCAAAGTCGTCATAAACACAAGAAATATGACTCAATTCTTAATTAATACCATAAAAGGACGACCAAGGGTCAAACATCATACAACTGGTCCCAGCTCAGCGATAGAAACAAATACCTTTATTAGTCCACTATAAAGCCTTATAATAACATGTCGCAATATCATTTAAAAAGGCAAATTTTCACTAATCCTTGTGAAACCTAAGTACTGGGCAGTTCTGCAAGGACTATAGGACTAGTGCCGATTTCTATTGCTGCAAGCATAACCAGTGAATGACCTTGACAACAAGCCTCGAAAGTTCCAATTTCAAATCTATAACAAGCCATACAAATAAACACTTTCATGCCGGGTGTTTGACTGGAGGGCCCTTGATCTTTTTTTATAAGTTGTAGCAATATTTGAGCAATGTCAAGTCATGTGACACAGAGGATTGGATTCCTATGTCCTGCCCATCTTGTCATGCATAGAAGGGGACACAACTCTTGTCATGCATAGAAGGGGACACAACTCTTGTCATGCATAGAAGGGGACACAACTCTAGCTTAACCAAACATCCCAAGTGTATTTCCTAAGCCTGTAAGTAACAAAAGACGCTGGCATCCTTCATGAGCTGAGGGTACCATCACTGCATGGCACTACCTTCCAATGGTTCTTCATCATACATATCGGGGTACTGACGGAAGATGCTGTTTGCCCGCCGCTCTGGGACCGGGGGGTTGTTGGGGTACGCTGGGTCCGCTCGGTCCAGCATCGTCACTTTCACAGCCATTCCGTACAGGTCCACCACGCCCCATGCCGGTCTGGGTGTGCTTGGCGCGGCGATGCCCTGATCCACGCCGTTGATGAAATAATGAAGGGCGCCACAATTCTTCCTGACCAGACCAATAATATCTCCTTCCTGCAAGGTCAGATAAACAACCATGGAGAACATTTCATGTACAAATAAACAAAATAAATAATTTAAATAAATTTGTGGAAACATGTTTATGCATACCGAAGCATAATATATATGTTTGTTGCCTAACGCTGCACTCGGCAATATTTCAGCTAATATATGTAAATAATCAAATCTGAACCAGACAATCCAGTGACTGACATCATGAGCATTGATTCATGCAATTGGGATACAATGCAATGAACCAAGTCACCGAGTCTGACCATCCAATAAGACAAATTTGTAAAGTATGATAGTGTTTAATACTATTAAGGCAAATTTGTAAAGTATGATAGTGTTTAATACTATTAAGGCAAATTTGTAAAGTATGATAGTGTTTAATACTATTAAGGCTAATTTGTATAGTATGATAGTGTTTAATACTATTAAGGCTAATTTGTATGATAGAGTTTAATACTATTACTATTACTATCACTTACCGTGAGTTCATCCAGGTTGTACTGGCCGTACTCCCTCCTTGTTCCCTTGCCATTGGTCAGAATGCCACACCCACTCATCATTATTGTCCCTGGAACACGGAGACCTACACTGATTCTCATCATTACTGTCTAAACTGTAGAAAACAGGTTCAACACAATGGAGTGAGTGAGTCATAATTTTATCGCAATGATCAACACAATGGAAATCTTATAAATAACTTACATAATCAAAAGGATGACAAGAAACATGACATCATGTCTGCATCGCAAATGAAATGTTACACATAATTATTTATTTACAATGTTATTACTGTTGATTATGTATCAATGTATAGGGCTCAAATATTTAGTGAAGTGGGCCATTTGACAAAAGTAGGGAGTGAGGCAGTATGTGTGGAGTAATGATTGACAGTTATACAGGTGCTGTGTGTGGAGTAATAATTGACAGTTATACAGGTACAGTATGTGTGGAGTAATGACTGACAGTTATACAGATGCTCTATGTGTGGAGTAATGATTGACAGTTAGACAGGTGCAGTATGTGTGGAGTAATGATTGACAGTTATACAGGTGCAGTATCTGTGGAGTAATGATTGACAGTTATACAGGTGCTCTATGTGTGGAGTAATGATTGACAGTTATACAGGTGCTCTATGTGTGGAGTAATGATTGACAGTTATACAGGTGCACTATGTGTGGAGCAATGATTGACAGTTATACAGGAGCATTATGTGTGGAGTAATGATTGACAGTTATAAAGATGCTCTATGTGTGGAGTAATGATTGACAGTTATACAGGAGCATTATGTGTAGAGTAATGACTGACAGTTATAAAGATGCTCTATGTGTGGAGTAATGATTGACAGTTATACAGGTGCAGTATCTGTGGAGTAATGATTGACAGTTATACAGGTGCTCTATGTTTTGAGTAATGATTGACAGTTATACAGGTGCTCCATGTGTGGAGTAATGATTGACAGATATACAGGTGCTCCATGTGTGGAGTAATGATTGACAGTTATACATGTGCTCTATGTGTGGAGTGATAATTGACAGTTTTACAGATGCTCTCTGTGTGGAGTAATGATTGACAGTTATACAGGTGCTCTATGTGTGGAGTAATGATTGACAGTTATACAGGTGCTCTATGTGTGGAGTAATAATTGACAGTTTTACAGATGCTCTATGTGTGGAGTAATGATTGACAGTTATACAGGTGCTCTATGTGTGGAGTAATGATTGACAGTTATACAGGTGCTCTATGTGTGGAGTAATGATTGACAGTTATACAGGTCCAGTATCGGTGGAGTAATGATTGACAGTTATACAGGTGCTCTATGTGTGGAGTAATGATTGACAGTTATACAGATGCTCTATGTGTGGAGTAATGATTGACAATTATACAGGTGCTCTATGTGTGGAGTAATGATTGACAGTTATACAGGTGCAGTATCGGTGGAGTAACGATTGACAGTTATACAGGTGCTCTATGTGTGGAGTAATGATTGACAGTTATACAGGTGCTCTATGTGTGGAGTAATGATTGACAGTTATACAGGTGCTCCATGTGTGGAGTAATGATTGACAGTTATACAGGTGCTCCATGTGTGGAGTAATGATTGACAGTTATACAGATGCTCTATGTGTGGAGTACTGATTGACAGTTATACAGATGCTCTCTGTGTGGAGTAATGATTGACAGTTATACAGGTGCTCCATGTGTGGAGTAATGATTGACAGTTATACAGGTGCAGTATCGGTGGAGTAATGATTGACAGTTATACAGGTGCTCTATGTGTGGAGTAATGATTGACAGTTATGCAGGTGCTCTATGTGTGGAGTAATGATTGACAGTTATACAGGTGCTCTATGTGTGGAGTAATGATTGACAGTTATACAGGTGCACTATGTGTGGAGTAATGATTGACAGTTATACAGGTGCTCTATGTGTGGAGTAATGATTGACTACGCCCACTCTGTATCCCACCTGCAGAAACAGCTTCCATGTATTATGTACGTGTAAGTACTCGACGGAAAAATGAAGAGATTCTCCGGAATCCTTTGTATCATATGTTGCCATGGTTGCAAGACAATTGTGTGGCTGATGTAGTTTTTTTGTATATATTTGTTTTAATTTCATTTTAGGTTTCTACGTATATTTATTATATATAACTAGTTGTCAGTTTCAGTCAGCTTTAACAAAGTGTATCTGACCTGTCTTACCTACTGACTGCCCCTTGGCCAGAAGCTTCATTTGCTGATTGGCCAAGCTAACACCTATTGTTAAACTGCATGCTTTGATTACACTGCATACTCTCTCAGCATATGAACTGACAGAACTGCTCAGACCAGCAAAGCATAAAGAGATAATATTAAATCAGGTGAGTTAAATGGTTATAAGCTCTATCTTGTGTTGTATTGAAATAATACAGTATGTTTAAAGTGTTATATGAAGTAAACTAAATGTATGTAATCTAACATAAATGTTGATTATGTCTAAATATTTAAATCTGCATAAGATAAGCCAAACACCCATACTTTATCCCTAAAATGTATTCTATCACTTCCATGAAATATGTGTGAAAGTGTTTTACTTCAAGAGTGTTTTAAAAAGCTTTGTAATGTACAGATTCAGAGGTGATACATGCAAATCATTGTAAATAAAATGTGTGTATTACTTTGTTCAATATATTATATGTTAAATAGTGTTTTAGTCTATGCATTGTTAATTCAGATCATCTATGGTGTTGCCATACGTGTGGCAGTGGGGATCCACACCCTTGTATCACCCACAGGGTATGACACCCTTGTATCACCCACAGGGTATGACACCCTTGTATCACCCACAGGGTATGCATTGTATTATTTATATTTGTCTAAGACTTAAGATGTAATCTAATTGTGATGACCACATTTAATGTAAGATCATATCATTAATTTCTGTCTTAAAGAATTGTATATGTTTATGCAGAATGTGTAAGCGTTATGTATATATATTGTGTATATATTATAGTCAAATGAAAGTCAAGGAGATATCTACCTTGAATGTCGGTATTGTGGATCATGTATATTACTGTATATGTGCTAATATAATCGTTTAAGGTTCAGCCTATCTAGTGTTTAAAGGATGACTGATGTATGTAAATATTTACTTGTAATAAGCCTATGCTATGTATCTAGCATTAATGACAATGTTTTACTTATTATTTATTGTGTAATTATGTGTTTCAGGGTGTATGATATCGCATTGCAAAAAGACCTCAACCCCGTAGTATGTATTTGTTTGCTCTAAAACGACATGCACTAAACTGCTACAATTGTAACAACAACAAAATAAACATAGACCTAAATGTCAGCTAGGCTACCCCACTGCCCCTGTGTTTAATACTGCAGTACATAGACATAGACACATATAAAGGAGTACTGTTAACACTCCACAAGTAATGTAATACTTACTCACTCACTCACTCACTCACTCACTCACTCACTGTTCATGAGAAGTAAGCGGAAATGTTCTATATTTAGAAAAATAGATTTTATATATAGTGAGCGAGTTGGGTTTAACGCCGCTTTTAACAGTATTCCAGTTACATCAGGCTGACAGAGCTGAGAATGGGATGAATTCTATCAGATGGAGCTGAGAATCGGATGAATTCTATCAGATGGATCTTATGAGGGGTTAAACAGAATGGGGGTGATTGTTTTATATGATCTGGAGTCTTAAAGAGACACAAGATTATTTCGAACCACCAACTTTCCTCTCCCTGGCAGGCATGCCTAAGGGACACAACTCTGCACAGCTAAATTGAAAATACCCAAACAACTGTGCCACCAATACCACGCTCACAACAAGACAGAAAGACAAACAAGTTCTTGGTGAACCGGACCTTGAGTTTGTAACCAAGATAACAGTTTCATAAACCATCGTTAAGGTTTCCATTAACCCCAAACCTCATCCTAACAACAAGTACCATCCTTTACCATCGTTTGGAATGACACCGCCACCAGGGGATGGAACCATCGACTTCCCACTATCCCAGACCTATAAGCATGTGTGTGAGTGAATGAATGAAAGTTGCAGCAATATTCCAGCATCACCACAGCAGTAAATAATCAAGTTTGGGACATGGCATATGGACATGGCATATGGACATGTAGTGATGAAACACTTCAGATCTTGGTGTCATACTTTGTCACGAACAACAGCACTCGTCTCTCCTACAGACACTGAAGAAGAAATATTGGAAATCTCGCATGCAAGTCTACAAAACTATTACAACTCTAGATTCCTACTGAAAATAAAGAGATTCTCTGGAATCCTTTGTTTCATATGTTGCCATGGTTGCAAGATAATTGTAACAAAAAACATAAACAAAGTCCTAAATGTCAGCAGTAGTAAGCACCCCGGGGGCAAATTGACAAAGGTAGGGGGCGCTTATTGAAACCACAAGTTACATTTGTTGTCAGAGACATCGCAACGCTCGAAACTTGAAAGAAATGGTATGGATTTTCCATAAATGACTTTGGATCAAATAAAACAGATAGCTAACCCATGCCCTACCACATACCTAACCCTAAGGATAGTATAGGGGTGCTTGATCGGAAAGGGGTACCTAAACCCTAAGGATTGCATAGGGGTGCTTGATCGGAAAGGGGTACCTAACCCTAATGATTGTAAAGGGGTACTTGCTCGGAAAGGGGTGCCTAACCAATGATTGTAAAGGGGTACTTGATTGTAAAGGGGTACCTAACCCTAATGATCGGAAAGGGGTGCCTAACCAATGATTGTAAAGGGGTACTTGATTGTAAAGGGGTACCTTACCCTAATGATTGTAAAGGGGTACTTGATCGGAAAGGGGTGCCTAACCAATGATCGTAAAGGGGTACTACTGGTTGTAGGTAACCCACCCCACCCTACCCTACCCTACCCTACCCTACCCTAACACAACGAACTGTGAACTGAGTGCCACAATCAACAGCCTGAGCCAATTAGCGCTAATTAAGGTGGGCCCAGTAAACTGCATTGTTGACAATGACAGTTTCTCCTTCACCATTGCTGTAATATACACACACAATAAAGGACCTGTCTTGTAAATCCATTTCGGGATTATCTATTTTCAACCCCAAGTCTGCAGCAAAAGACAGAACAAATTCCCTAATTGGAACAATATTACAAATTCTTTCCCAGTATGACTGCCGAGGGAACAAACGGAACGTTGTTTGGAATTCCAGATATATTCTTGCTATTATTATTGGTGTGCTTAATACCACAAATACAGTATACTACATGAAACATACTATTGAGTACAAGGAGTCCAAAGTATAAAATCGCCTACCTTTCACAATCTTCCATAAAGAAGAAAATATCAGGGCTGTGGTAAGTTGTGTCAGGAGACTGTGTCTGCGCCACACAGACATCTTGAGTCTGCAACAATGTCCAACACAATGAGTACAAGTGATTCACGACCAAAACAAGTTAAAACATAATTACTCCACCACTCAATGCTCTGATACCTTGGTAACCAACCAAAACATCAATTTCTTGGAAAATGCGATATAAAGGTCATAATAAAGATGTCACTTTTCCTGGTTCATGATACTGGAATAATTACAGAACTGTTACATGGCTACAATCAAGTGGTAACACAAAGAGACTGATGTCAACAATATTATTGACTTTTACATTAGGTTTTTGGAACAAAAAGCAGATGTTAAAAGTTATAATCGATGACAGGATTGGGAGGGGAGCCAGGGGAGGGAGGGAGGGGAGCCGGGGGGGAGAGGGACGAGGTTGTGTGACATCTGTTCGGCAGGCCTGTACAGCAGCAATGGAATAAAGACAAACAACTTGATCAATGAATGGAGTATAATGAATGCATATGTAACCCAGCTCACAATCACTCAGACTGACTGACTGACTGACTGACTGACTGAAAACAATGAAGGAATCTGGGTCAGTATCTTTGTATTGATAAGAATATGGCTGACAAAGCTGCATCAGTCAATGAGGTAAACGCATTTTGTCATGAGGGGACGCCAAGTTGCTTGAACCTGGAAGACTGACAGAGTTATTCCCCTTAGTCCATTGAGACAAATGATACAGGCTTAAAGCATTACTCACGGCAAGATTTCCAGCAATGAGACACCAGTATTAGTTTGAATGTGGGGTGGGGCCTGGAGCAAATACATTTCCAACAGAGCAAAAGTTCTATATACAACACATACTCATAATAAAGGGACGTGTTTTTGTTGGAAATACGGTAGTTGAATACTTAGATTTCTTTACACTGAAGGGCGTGATGAATGGCGCATGTTGATTAATGATAGCACAGTGCCGTTCTTATGTCGGATGAAATATGGTTATTGTTTAAACTGTTATAGGGCGTGGTCAGTGTGTGAAGGTAGGCATTTATCATCCACACAAGAATACAGGAAGCACCCTGCCCGCTTCTTCGCCACGAAAACACTTCCAACGTTCACCAGAGAGCGGCCAAAACAGGTGACATTTTCTGTGATGAAAGAAGAAGTTGCAAATGGCCAAGGGAGGACAAGGTTTGGAACATGCTTCGTCCCCGTTTGACAGAATGGCCGCTCTGTGCGGGAAATAAAAGACATGGAGTGAAATATATGAATGAACTTACCTTCAGATGCATGTGCATAATCGTCCCCTCCGTCGATGCAGATGCGAAAAGACCGAGCGAGCGCGCTTGGGTGTGGTGATGCCAGCCAGCGACCGTCAGATACGTGCTCCGCCATGGCCAGCCGATGGAGGAAATGACGGCCTTTGGCATTAGTTACCTCGCTTGTGATTGGTGCTTTTCCGCTTCCTTCCGGGTGGCTTGGTACCGGCTGTCGAAAATGCGTTTTTTGGCGGTCGGTGCAATGCCCAGATGCTCTCGATGTAACCGGTGGCCTTTGAGTGGCTTGGTGCCGGCTGGCTAAACTGCGTTTCTTGGTGGTCGGTGCAAAGCCAAGATGCTCTCGATGTAGCCGGTGTCTTCCAAGTGGCTTGGTACCGGCTATCTAAACTGCGTTTTTGGGCGGTCGGTGCAAAGCCAAGATGCTCTCGGTGCAGCCGGTGTAGTCGGGGTGGAATTGTGTGAAAAGTGGAAAGTAGTAGAAAAAGATGGAACTAGATTCTACATGTATTTAATAGTTCCTGCAAAAAATAAAGTAAAATGATAAATTATTTGTTTTACAGACAACTACGAAAGCCTTTTAGGGCCATTTGCAATTATATTATTTTATTTTTATTGAAATTTCAAGATATTAAGTTGAAATTTCAACTTAATATCTTGAAATCAACTTAATATATTGAAATTTATAAAGAAACAGGATTAAACCCGAAGACGGTGTGTAAAATAAATGGTGACAATTGGAAAGAGAGCGAAAGCTGCATCGAAGGGCAACAACACGAAATGTCAAGAAAAACAAAAAATAAATACGCCATGCAGGTGTAAGAAGTAAAATGACCAGAAGTAGACTCAGTATATCTTAATTTTTTTTAATATATTTTTAATAAGAAAAATGTGATGAAATGAAAGATAATACAAGACAAGTTAATTGAGAATATTTGTTACCACATTGTGTTCGAAAGCGAAGTCGTAACTATAGGCGTAAAAGCGGGGCCGAAGCGGGGTAAAAGCGGGGCCCGGGTAATCGAGGCTAAAGAACGGAAAGGGAGAAAAGCGATTCGTCGGCCGACGAAAATAGAGCGATTGGATTGGCTCGGGTTGAGGGTTGAGTTTGGGGTTCATGTAGCATGTAAGTAGTTCTTTAGAAATAGAGTTCCTCCCAAAAAGGGGGTTTGCACCCACTCAGGGTGCTCCCGGGCCAAAGCGAGCCGTGACAAGATACTGCGGACCGAAGCTGGAGGCACGAGAACTTCCGAAAGGCCCCCAAAGTAGCCCAAATTGGATTTGCAGATGGGTGTGAATTGTCTGGAAAACCCCCTTTCTATTAATAAATGTTCGGATATAGCGCGAGATGAATAAGATTACTGGTGGCCACGTTAGCGCTGTGAAATAATACTTTCTGGCTTATGGGCGTACGGGATCGTTTGTCTGGCCATGGGCTAATTTATTTGCAGGTGATAAGCCCGCAACATCCCCCGTTAACCACCAGTGCGGGTTTTGTTCCTGGGGCCTAAAATTGAATACTATACGTACGTTGCACGTTGTATGATATCTCCAGTTTAATAAATGCGCAAAAGATGCCTTAACCACAAAGACAGACACTATTGATTGATTGGAAATCAGAACGAGCAACACTGTTCGATGGGTATGAATAATATTTGTGGAATAGTATACGTTATATTTATATAGATCTTCCCATTTCTCAGCGCACTTTTTGAACTATAAAATAATAATTGCGTTTCATAGGCTTTACTGATACTAACAATTGGCATATGTAACTATGAAACTCGTGACACAAAAGTAATGCTGTTCTGTGCTGTGAATAAGTGAGAGAAGCGATGGTTTGTGGATTGTTAACGCATAAGCAGCCTCTAAGTTGTATGAATGTAGTGCATGACAGATTAAAGACACATTTCTCTCAGAATGGCACATTGAAACATGTTGCGCAGTCTTTCTCAGTATTTAACTTGAATTAATGTAAGAGGTCACTTTTTAAATGTTGCACAATGTTGCACAATGTTGGACATTAATGTCACCTACGAAAGTTTCACACCAGAAGTGGATTGAGGTTACGGCGGAAGTGGATTGGAAGTACACCGGAAGTGGATTGAAGTTACACCAGAAGTGGATTGGAAGCACACCGGAAGCGGATTGCAGGCACACCGGAAGTTGATTGCAAGCACACCGGAAGCGGATTGCAGGTACACCGGAAGTGGATTGGAAGCACACCGGAAGCGGATTACAGGCACACCGGAAGCGGATTGCAGGTACACCGGAAGTCGTTTGGAAGCACACGGGAAGGGGATTGCAGGTACACCGGAAGTTGATTACAGGCACACCGGAAGCGGATTGAAGGTACACCGGAAGTCGTTGGGAAGCACACCGGAAGCGGATTACAGGCACACCGGAAGTCGTTTGGAAGCACACCGGAGCGGATTGCAGGCACACCGGAAGTCGTTTGGAAGCACACGGGAAGCGGATTGCAGGTACACCGGAAGTTGATTACAGGCACACCGGAAGCGGATTGCAGGTACACCGGAAGTCGTTTGGAAGCACACGGGAAGCGGATTGCAGGTACACCGGAAGTCGTTTGGAAGCACACCGGAAGCGGATTACAGGCACACCGGAAGTCGACATGGATTTCGTGACATATACAGGCTATGCATTTTTCAGATTAGGTTTCAGAAATGTCTTTTTGGGGATGAAATGACAGATAGATAGAAAGCAATGACAGAGCTGAAAGTGCATCATCGTGTTGTTTGATTGATATTTTCGCGTGAATTAGTCATGTGACAACGCCCGCGTGTCATTTGTAAAGTTGTATTTGAGCAAGGGGATTATCATTTGTTCATCATTTTCTGAAAAAATATTTCTCTCTTATAATGAAAACGAGGAAATGTAAAATGAGATCCAAAAATAAGAGCATCAAATATATGTCAAACCCGTAATACCTACAAATCACATATTTTGTAAATTTTATTGAATTAGGTCCAGTATAACTTACAGATGTTTGCATTCACGATTACCTCAATCATAAAGTTTTCGTTTTGATGGATCGGCAAGATTAAACCACCCATCCAGTATCTGCAATTCGTTTGGTCAAAAGTTTGACAAGCGCAGGTCTTTTGCCTTCCTATATCAGCTTGGTAGATCTCACAGGAAAACTACATCATTTCACATCGACCCAATCACAAGAAACTACACCAGTAAGGTCGTGGAAAATTGTTTTAAGGTGTGTTTGGGTAACAATTCAGTTGCTTTACATGATACATACAATTCAATTTTAACGAAAAAAAATAAGAATGTGGCAATTCGCCGGTGAGCAGACTTGGACGCCATTATCAATGAGTTGTGAAAACAAGATGTCTAATTAGGAGATAAACCTAATGTGTTTTGAAATTTGATGTCGTCCCACTGCTCGAGTAGATCTCTTATTTTAATTTGGAAACGATCGCTTCATCAAATAAGTTTGTATTTATTTCGTTGAATAAGGCAGTTTTCATGTGATATTCAATATAATGTTACTGTTAAAACTTCTTATCAAACATAATTGCTATTTCAGTACAGAACCTTGGTGTCGGGAAATATGGATAAATATTAATATTATTTGTCGCGATCACTATTAGTCTGTTACAATGTGGACGGTTTAATATCAGTTTAACATCATCACATCAACATTTCTATAGATTCAAATTACATAAATAATGCAAGTTAACTAGAACAGATTTATTGAGATATCATTGGTAATATATGTAACTGGTAACTAGTTTTGTAGTAATGAATCATTGTACAATAGATAATGGTCTAATACAAACACGTTTTCTCCACAAGAACTTTCAAAATAATTATTTATTACTTCTAAAATGTTGTACATGCCCAACAATTAACATATTTTAATTGTTAGGCCTGTTGTCATGTGACGATGTGATCAAATCACAAGTATGAGTGGAATTACACGCCAGGGTGAGCGGAATTAGCAGAAACTGAGGCATTTCCAGTTACACGACCAGCTGGATTACGTGCCCTTATAAAGCTATTGTATAGATGACCTTTATGACAAGGACTGGTGACGTTGAATAAGGATCTCTCTTTCAAGTATTGTGTTCCCTTCTGCTCATAACGATTGTGTCTCACATGACGCTGGGAAGAGAGCGGAATTACCTGGATCTACTCTAAAGTTCAAGAACATCTGAAAACTTGCAGCCACAATGTAAAGCTATGACACCAGACCAAAACGCAAAAAATAAAGGCCACACTCAGCAATATTCCAATTGTGTGTAAATGATCGAATCTGGACCAGACAATCCAGTGACTGATATTTCTGGAAACGACCCACACAGTTGAGTGTATTACAGGCTATCAACCAATTACTATAAAACATGTCCTGAATAAACTTTTAACATGCTTGATGAGTAAAACACAAGGATAATCCTATTTATTTTTAATGAAATAAGACTCACAAACAATGAACACGTTTATCTATTAAAGAAAAAGTAAATAATTTATACATTCGAGGGTGTGTGTTCTTGCAGACATGTACCGAAAGTTATATTTGTATAGCTAATTCAGGTTGGTGTGGTTATTATCAACGCCACACTTAGTAATATTCCAGCTATATGTCGGCCATCTGTAAGTAATCGAATCTGGATCAGATAATCCCGTGATCGACACTATGACCATTCATCCGCTTAATTGAGATACAAACGCATGCATGCAATCAACCAAGTCACTGGGCCTGATCCCCAGATCCCATAAGGCAAGCATAGGTTGCTGGGGACCAATATTCTTACCCAGAACCCCACGGGTTACCGGTAGTTATAACACTGATATAAATCAAAATGTAACTATTCAGATAGCTTACACACACACACTATCAAAACAGTTTCAAGACTTTGTTCAAATGCATACAGTGTTACACAAGTTATCAATGATTTGGTTTATATGATATTGACACTGTCAGCTACTGTTGACCATGCCATGTTTTCACATGCCACGTGCAGGCATGGCAAGGGGCAGATAGTGTTGAATTGTCTCGTTAGGTAATTATGAAAGACGCGGAATAAAAGACACTCAATAATCGTACTTCCAATATCGCCTAAGAAGACATCATACTATCATTTGGGTAAATATGTAT